CAAAAAAAATATCGATTTTATATCTTTATTAGCATTTTTCATCATTTATAATACCTAGATATGTTTTAAAATGCAATTTAAAGCATTTTTGGTTTCGATCATAGTAGGCTATTTTCAAAAAAAATATCGATATTTTATCTTTATTAGCATTCTTAATCATTTATAATACCTAGATATGTTTTAAAATGCAATTTAAAGCATTTTTGGTTTCGATCATAGTAGGCTATTTTCAAAAAAAATATCGATATTTTATCTGTATTAGCATTCTTTATCATTTATAATACCTAGATATGTTCTCAAATGCAATTTAAAGCACTTTTGGTTTCGATCATAGTAGGCTTTTTTCAAAAAAAATATCGATATTATATCTTTATTAGCATTCTTTATCATTTATAATACCTAGATATGTTTTAAAATGCGATTTAAAGCATTTTTGGTTTCGATCATAGTAGGCAATTTTCAAAAAAAATATCGATTTTATATCTGTATTAGCATTCTTTATCATTTATAATACCTAGATATGTTTTAAAATGCAATTTAAAGCATTTTTGGTTTCGATCATAGTAGGCTATTTTCATAAAAAATATCGATTTTATATCTATATTAGCATTCTTTATCATTTATAATACCCAAATATTTTTTAAAATGCAATTTAAAGCATTTTTGGTTTTGATCATAGTAGGCTATTTTCAAAAAAAATATCGATTTTATATCTTTATTAGCATTCTTTATCATTTATAATACCTAGATATGTTTTAAAATGCAATTTAAAGCATTTTTGGTTTCGATCATAGTAGGCTATTTTCATAAAAAATATCGATTTTATATCTATATTAGCATTCTTTATCATTTATAATACCCAAATATTTTTTAAAATGCAATTTAAAGCATTTTTGGTTTTGATCATAGTAGGCTATTTTCAAAAAAAATATCGATTTTATATCTTTATTAGCATTCTTTATCATTTATAATACCTAGATATGTTTTAAAATGCAATTTAAAGCATTTTTGGTTTCGATCATAGTAGGCTATTTTCATAAAAAATATTGATTTTATATCTATATTAGCATTCTTTATCATTTATAATACCTAGATATGTTTTAAAATGCAATTTAAAGCATTTTTGGTTTCGATCATAGTAGGCTATTTTCAAAAAAAATATCGATTTTATATCTTTATTAGCATTCTTTATCATTTATAATACCTAGATATGTTTTAAAATGCAATTTAAAGCATTTTTGGTTTCGATCATAGTAGGCTATTTTCAAAAAAAATATCGATATTTTATCTTTATTAGCATTCTTAATCATTTATAATACCTAGATATGTTTTAAAATGCAATTTAAAACATTTTTGGTTTCGATCATAGTAGGTTTTTTTCAAAAAAAATATCGATTTTATATCTTTATTAGCATTCTTTATCATTTATAATACCTAGATATGTTTTAAAATGCAATTTAAAGCATTTTTGGTTTCGATCATAGTAGGCTATTTTCAAAAAAAATATCGATATTTTATCTTTATTAGCATTCTTAATCATTTATAATACCTAGATATGTTTTAAAATGCAATTTAAAGCATTTTTGGTTTCGATCATAGTAGGCTATGTTTTTAAAAAAATATCGATTTTATATCTGTATTAGCATTCTTAATCATTTATAATACCTAGATATGTTCTCAAATGCAATTTAAAGCACTTTTGGTTTCGATCATAGAAGGCTTTTTTCAAAAAAAATATCGATATTATATCTTTATTAGCATTCTTTATCATTTATAATACCTAGATATGTTTTAAAATGCGATTTAAAGCATTTTTGGTTTCGATCATAGTAGGCAATTTTCAAAAAAAATATCGATTTTATATCTTTATTAGCATTCTTTATCATTTATAATACCTAGATATGTTTTAAAATGCGATTTAAAGCATTTTTGCTTTCGATCATAGTAGGCTATTTTCAAAAAAAAAATATCGATTTTATATCTATATTAGCATTCTTAATCATTTATAATACCTAGATATGTTTTAAAATGCAATTTAAAGCATTTTTGGTTTCGATCATAGTAGGCTATTTTCAAAAAAAATATCGATTTTATATCTTTATTAGCATTCTTTATCATTTATAATACCTAGATATGTTTTAAAATGCAATTTAAAGCATTTTTGGTTTCGATCATAGTAGGCTATTTTCAAAAAAATATCGATTTTATATCTATATTAGCATTCTTTATCATTTATAATACCTAGATATGTTTTAAAATGCAATTTAATGCGTTTTTAGCATTCCTTATCATTTATAATACCTTGATATGTTTTAAAATGCAATTTAAAGCATTTTTGGTTTCGATCATAGTAGGCTATTTTCAAAAAAAAAATATCGATTTTATATCTATATTAGCATTCTTTATCATTTATAATACCTAGATATGTTAACTTTCAAAGAGTACCAAAATGTGTGTAATAGGAGGCCGGATTTTTCTGTATATAAACTTTTACAATTGGACATCATCTATGCCTGCAAAACGCCAAAAAACATCTTATTTGAATTTTGAAATTTTTTTGCGTTCAATCGAATATATCTGAAGATTAAATTTTTTGAAGTTCTCGAGATAACATAATAGCTTTCGCGAATAAAAAAAGAAAATTCTAAAGATATTAGAGCCTATATTTCAAATTTTAGCTAATAAAACTTAAAAGTGTACAAATTATGACAAAAAAAGTTAAATTTGTATGAAAATATATGGAAAAAAATTTAAATTACAAGTTAAAATTTGGAAAATGAAAAAAGAAAATATGAAAATGGTAAAATTTATCATAAAACTTATTATTTTATCAAAAAAGTTTAAAAAAAATCATAAAAAAGGAAAAAAAAGAAAGTTGCTTGCGGTGAGATTTGAACCAGTGACTTGAGGAAGAAAAGAATTGAATTTTATAATTCACAAAAAGAATAAAATTTCGATAGTGAAACGTGAGGTTTTTTCTACCTGTCAACAGGTGACGACCTGTCACAGGTGGGGCTGCGACAGGTCAGACCTGTGACAGGTGGAAAAATTTGATCTGTGAACAGGTAATGGCCTGTGATAGGTGATCTTTCGACAGAATCTGTCACCTTTACCTTTGACAGGTACCTGTCGTCGCAACTCTGCTTGATATTCTATCAAAATTTTAAAATCCATCCTTTCGTATTTACTTAAGATACTTTTTTGTCTTAAGCTCTCAAGTCGTTGAACAAAGAGCTTTCAATGATTCATTAAAAGCTTTCTTGCAAGTAATGACGTAACATTCAACGCAGCTTGCAAGTAATTAGCAGCTTATTTATTTTTACATCATCTCATTTACATGTGATATAACAGAAAGCTAGGTTTTGTTTATGAAAATGTACCAGAGGCTCTCGTGAGAAAAAATTGTCGCTGATCATATGTTTAGTATTTCAAGCATTGCTCAAATGATTACGTCTGACTTAATCTCAGAGAAAAATAGTCAAAGAGAAATGAGAAGAAAAAAAAACATTTTAAATTTCATTTAGCAATAAGTCTTCGTCGAGACTAAAGGTTGTCTTAGAAAAAGTTTTAATTAAAAATTCAAACTTTTCGGGAGAGAGATATAATTTGGAAGTAGTGTAAATATTTAGGCTACTAATTGAACAGCTAGTGCAAGTGTTAATTCCGCATTTTATAAAACTTCTTAATCAATTAAATTTAAATGAAAATACCAGCGAAATTATTTTTAGAACAAGAAAAAATTGTTTTTTGATGACGTATAAGCTACACATTAAGCAAACGATAGACTAAAGTGTTAACTACTGTGTCTCTCAGTTTTGAATTTTCTCGCTCACTAGTCGGTCAATTTACTCATTCTTATATTGTGTGACTAACGTGTTTTTTTTATGAATTATGTACTTAATTTAAATTTGGGAATTTTTATGACAATTTAATTTGATCATCTAAATTTTATTCAACATTTTTAAATTTTTTAAATTGAATTATTATTTAAACTCATCAGTACTTTCTTGAACGAAGTGCCATTGTTTTTTGGAATAATTCTCAAATTGATGTGTGACTGAAGCACGACGGCATGAAGTGTCCAATCACTTTGAAACTTTGCCAGAATTAAGTCCATATTACGTCCAATTGCGTCCAACAAAAAAATAATTGTGTCCTACTTCCTGTGGCTGGATATATGTAGCAGGTTCCATTTTTGGGATTGGATACTTCATACCGTCGTACTTCAGTCACACAATATGTGTGATGCTGGGTTATAAGTCCAGAAACTATAAGTCCAGATACAAATTGCACCTGGACTTAAAAACCTCACGTGCAGTTCATAAGTCCAGGTACAAATACAGCTGGAATTATAAACTGCACGAGAGGTAAAATTGTAGACCCAAAAAAGACGTTTTTTGGCGTTTTGTAGGCAAATATGATGTCCAATTGTAAAAGTTTCGACAAATATATCGATGATTCTCAACATTTCAAGACCATTAGTAGGTCACAATGTCAATTCGTCGTTTAGTTTCAAGCGTTTGAAAATTCCAAATGTGAAATCACGCAAATTTCAAAATGATTTACCCCATATGGGGTACTTTAGAGGGGAAAAAATCAGAGAAAAGTGAATTCTTTGTGTGAAATTTTCAGAAATTCATGTGATAAATTGCTTTAAAGAAAAAAAATTTATATAATTTCAAATAATTTTCAAGGATTATAAGTGCAGAAAAATGTATGTGGACTTATAATCGCACTGGGAGATTATAAGTAAAATTTATAAATTTTCTGGAATTATAAACCACACTTGAGGTTTATAAGTCCAGATATAAAATGTACCTGGACTTAAAAACCTCTCGTGCAGTTTATAATTCCAGCCGTATTTGTACCTGGACTTATGAACTGTACGTGAGGTTTTTAAGTCCAGGTGCAATTTGTATCTGGACTTATAAACCTTTAATGACTTTGATTTTCTGGACTTTTAATTTTCTGTGCACGATTTTTGTACCTGGACTTATAATCTCTGGACTTATAACCCAGCATCCATATTGATTAGAGGTTTCATGTTTGAATATTAATATGCTTATCATAAGATCCAGAGCTCGAAGTTGACTCGAGTTGACTCGAAGTCGACCCGAAAAAAATGAAGTCAACTCGGTTTTGAGTCGAGTCGAGTCAACTCAAAAGAAAGTATTTTTGAATTAATTAATTTTCGGTTTACAACATTGGGTTTGAGCAGTTATACCGTCTAATATTATAATCTACAATATAATTTAAGATAAGAGGATTATATCAAGAGCAACAGGCAAAAATCACAATTCATTTTGTAGATAAATGCTCATACTATACTCTTACTAAATTAAATTATTTTTTCTTGTTCCAAAAACAAGCTTTAGTTATTTTTTTGATTATCGAAATATTTTTTTTTTAATTTATCGCCTCTCAAACTTGTGGGGTTACTCATAAGTAATATGTCATGAAGCTATGCGATTTAATACTCTCCACTGCTTCTAGGTATCATTTGTAAGCGACCTTAATAATTAATATAACATTTTGTACGTGTTGCAGTTTTCAAGACCAAAGTGAACAAATTGTGTAGTTCTATCAAACTGTTGAAATAAATATATTGAAAGTTAACTGTCTAAAACAAGAATAAAATGTTTTTCAAAATCCAAGAAATTTGGCAAATTTAATTCTTAACTGATAACTTACGATACCAAGAATAAAAGAAGCAAACATCAATAAGGTATAATTTAGCATGATACGCTTTCGAAAAAACACAATAAAAACGAGAAAATTATTAAGAGTTTGTTAAAGATGCACAATAGTGGTAAATCAACGATACCGTCAATGGAACAGAGAAAATCCCAAATAAATTTACTCAATTTTATGGATCAAGAAAAGCAACGACGAGATAGTAAAGAATTTCTTTTTCCGGATGATAATTTATTACACAAGAGACGACCATCAGCCCACGATCATAGTGCTACACAGAGTGAGGATGATGAAAGTGCTGGTTCATTTGAGGTAAATAGAGAAAAAAATTGCAGCTGATTTCATTTCATTTTGCTAGTTGAATGAATGAATGAATGAGGATATAAGTAAGAAAGCACATACTATGCCCAAACACGTTTCAAATTGAATTTCATCATTTTACTGGGAGCTTCTTCAGTGCTGATTTTTTTTTTCCTCCGTCACATGTTTTATTTATATTGTGTATCTGTTTCTCCTTTTTGATTTCTAATTCAAGTCATATATGGTGATAGAATTTGATAAAAATATCAAAAGAGATGCCCTTCACTGGATCATTGACAAAATAAGGATGAGAAAATCTGATGGAGGCGCCCAATTGTTGATTCGACGAGAGCCTTGCCAGAGGTAAAGTAAAATGCAGGAAAAAAATTAATGAATTTAAAACAATTCTGATCATGTTAAGGCATTTGAAATCCGTTTGCTGTGTACAATAAAGCTTAAGTTTTAATCAATAATTTAACTTCCTTTTTTTCTCTTCCTAAATCCATTTCTTTAACCTCAATCAATCAACAAATCTGATAAACTAGCAAAGAAAAAGGTTTGATTATACACATATCAGCATCAAAGCTACGCCTTTTGGAACTAGCAGATGAAATTGGCTTCACTAAACCAACCCGCAACGGAATGAGAAATTTCAATATTGGATGTCTCGACGATTTTTTATTCGATAGTAGGTATATGTGCACATATCTTCATGAAGCGTTTAAAAATGTTAGCAGAATAAAAGTTTCAGCATCTCAGCAATCTACGTGCTTTGCTGGGAATGTTTATTCACTCCTTTTCGTTTCTCGCTATTTCATATATATATCCATATAGTTGATATTTTTCTCTCTATATATTCTGTAGACATGACAATGGATGACATTTTGACACCAGCAGATAAGCAATTTGTGATAAAATATGCATTGGAAAATATCAAGGCGCAAGCAGATGAGCGACAATTACCAGGATATGCAGCTGTTTCACTTTACCATGGACAATCAATCATTCATGCTGCAATGTCTGAAGAATTGATTGTCAACATGTTTACGTTACATGACAAAGAATTTATGAAACGCATAGGTACGGAATGGTGGAATTTAAGGAAAATGTTTTACAATCAACCAATTGAGAAAATTCGAAAATATTTTGGTGATGCCATCGGTTTCTATTTTTCATTTGTTGGTAAGTTAAAATCTATTTTTTATGCGCTTCCAAGTCTTTTTGATTGACCTAACTTGACGACAAGTTGCTTCCTTTAATCAAATTTTCAATCAAGCATTTTTCCGAATTTAGAAATATATCATCTCAAATGCATAATATTCATTATCATTTCATCAAAAATGCAGATAAAAAATTTGATTTGGATTTTTTTCATAAAAAGAAAGAATATAGGGAGATATAAGAAGATGATATATGTGAAAAATGTAAAATGAAAAGTTGTCATACATGTCACACTACTAACGATGATTGAATTTTCTTCCTACATTCTTCGTCGTTCACAGGTTTCTATACTTCCGCATTAGTAATACCAACAATCCTAGGAATTCTTCAATTTCTTTTTGGAGATGGTGAAACTACGCCATATTTTTGTTGCCTTTATGTCGTGTGGATGGCAGTTTTTCTCGAAATATGGAAAAGAAAATGCTCAGCAATGGCATATAAATGGGGAACATTATCGTTAGCAACAATTGAGTTGCCACGACCAGATTATTATGGTAAATTAGGACGTGATCCTATCACAGGAAAACTGACGCCACAATACCCGCAATGGAAAACAATGACTCAAGTTTATTTAATATCTGTGCCTGTAATTCTATTGTGCATCGGTGGAGCTGCTTTCATGACAATCTCACAGTTTTGGTTTGAGGATTATTTGATTGAAAAATTTGGCTACGAATCATACATCACCATGATACCATCTATCTTTCAATCAATCTTTGTTGCTATATTGACTGTTTTCTACGATCGCTTTGCAACTTTTTTGACCGTGAAGGAAAATCATCGCACACAAAATCAATATGAACGACACCGTGTAAACAAATTGATTGTCCTAGAATTCGTCAACAACTTCTTTTGTCTCTTTTATATTGCATTTGTTAAACGTGATATGAAAATGCTTCAGAATCAGCTCATGACACAAATGCTCATTCTGCAGGTAATTTTTTTTTTTTGAAAGGAAAATTGTTAAATTCCTGATAAAACATCATTTTCAGTTCGTTCAAAACGCCCAAGAATTCTTGCTTCCGAAATTAAAGCAGAAATATGTGCTATGGTTTTGTTGTGATGGTGGAATATTTAATAAACATAACGATGACAACGAAATTGATACCAAAAGACTGACAGAAGTATATGATGATTTAAATATTCAACAATTGGATGATGATGATCCGAGAATCAAACAGGTATGAAACATATCATTATATTTCATAAAATATGGCGTAATTGGTTATCAGAATTTTCGTCAAATTTAGATTTTTGAACTTTTTAATAATAAAAATTGGATGTTTGATGCAGAGATCGAAGCCGATTTTTTCGGCTTAACTCAATTTTTGATTTTTTTGATAGAAAAAAGCCATTTGACACCCATTTCAAGTATTTAAATTGAACTTTACATGCTTTACTATGATTCTGTGTAATATTTTGTCAGCATGTAGCTATAGTGAGCTCAGAATTTCAATTTAGCCGATTTTAAGCCGATCGGCTTAAATTTCGGCTTAACATTCTTTAACTTGAAATTCTGAGCTTCCTATAGCTACATGCTGACAAAATAATTCGCAGAATCATAGTAAAGCATGTAAAGTTCAATTTAAATACTTGAAATGGGTGTCAAATGGCTTTTTTCTATCAAAAAAATCAAAAATTGAGTTAAGCCGAAAAAATCGGCTTCGATCTCTGGTTTGATGTATTATGCAATATTATTTCTTTTAAAAATAGAATATACGTGAGAGTGCAAAAGATGAGTACAACACCTATGATGATTATTTAGAGCTATACATCCAATTTGGTTATGTAGTTCTTTTTTCCTCAGTAGCACCGTTCGCTGCATTCTGGGCATTATTCAATAATTTTTTTGAAATCCGACTTGACGCTTACAAGGTAATATATATGTTAATAATTAAATTTATGACACTTTTATTCACTTGAGGAAGCTAAAAAATAGGAAATGGATAAAAGCTCACTGATGTGAAGCAGAGCAGGGAAAATTTACAGCATCATGTATAACTATTTCAATCTCTGTCTCCCCTATTTTATTATAAAATAAGCTATGCAAGACCTTTAGGCGTCCGTTTGCAAGGCGAGCAAAGAATACTGGTGCTTGGCAACTCGCATTCGAAGTACTCGCATGCCTATCAATCATGAGCAATTGTGGCATTCTCTATTTATCACCGCAAGTGAGGTAAGTGAATTAAAATGTGTACATGTGAAACATATAAAAAAAATATTTGCATACAAACCGCATCATAACAGAAGTGAAACTGTAGAAGCATAAATTTATTTTCTGAATAATTGATTGATTCCTCATTTTTTTTCCTCTCTTCCCTTTATTTCATTTTCATTGATTAAATTTCATTAAACTAAACATAAAATAAATAAATCAATGCTCTCCAATATTGAATATAGGGAAATAACTGAAGGAATGTCAACGGAACTAAAAGTGATCATTATAGTGGCGTTAGAACATTTCCTTTTATTGCTAGCATGGATTATCCATAAAGGAATTCCAGATCGACCAAGTTGGGTGAGAATTGCCTTAGCCCGTAATGATTATGAATCAAAACAAGCGCTCAAACGTGAGGTAAACTATAAACCGACTATTATTATATGTCAAATTTTATTAACTGTGGTTTTATATGTTTCCTTACCAAAATATATTGTTTATTTAGAGTAGTTCCAAAAAACACTAACCAAAGGTTTAAAAAAATTTGTGAGCGGGCTCAAACAGTATTAATATGGTGTTGTCGTACAATTTTTTTGCTTAATTATTTGTTGCCATTTATTGCATATAGGAAGATTTTTTATCGCACGCTGTAAAAAAATGTTTATCATGCACATACACACTCAGGAAAAATTCATTAAAAACTTTCCCATATGTATTGTAAATTTTATTATAGGACTAAAAGTGATGCCCATGCGATGCCAAAATATGTTATGCCAGTTAGTCAGCTTTTATATAGATTTGCTTGCATCCCCATTACATCAATTTCTTCAAAGTTTATATGAAAAAAATAATATATGCCTTATGACAGCATATACACAAAGTTTTTGATCGCAACATGTATGAGTTATGTGAATTCTTTCATTAGTTTTAAAATTTTATTCATTTTGAAGCCATAACAAGATTGCTTTTAAAAAGAGTTACTTAAAATATATACATATTTATTATAACAAATTGTTTTCACAAAATAAAAATGATAATAAACAGATTGTCATGTTTGATTTTAACGATCATGAGTTTTTTGAAAGAGCTTTTGCGTTTTTAAATGAGCTTTTTGCTTTCAACTGTTAGTTTTAAAATATTTTTAATAATTACTCTTGTCAATTTCAGTCTGTACAACGAACCAAAAATATCATTTTTAGAAGATTTAAAAGCTTTCATCCAAAATAAATTTTCCATGTACCTTCAATTATTAATTATTTTAAAAAATTGTTAAAATAAATAGATTTAAAAAGAATTAAAATGGTTTAAGTTTCAATATTTTTAACATTTTCCTTGTTACATTAGTGTGTTTTATAAAGCATGCGTCAAACATTCTAGAAACAGTTCTAAAACAAAGTTGCCATACAAACACCGCATGTTTGTTGTTCGTTCTTTCATTCTAACAGGAATGCATTTTCAAGTATAAATAAGTTTTTGATAAAAATACTGAATTCCGGTTTTTCTAGTTGAACATTTTTTCCAGTGCGTTTTTGTTTCTAATTTGCCGTCAATTGCCGTGCAGAATAAATGTTAATTGGTCTTCTTACAGGAAAACTTTTAAAAAAGTAATCTTAATTATATTCTTAATATTTATTTGTGATGTTCCACTGTTTTCCATGGAAATCGTATGACTTTATAAGCTGAAGGAAAAAAAGTCTGAATAATTGAAAAAAGTGAATTTATAAATTTTTAAATGTAGTTCTGATAGAAATTTATTTCTATTTTTATTTCATAATAAGCCATTAAGTTATTAAGTTTGACATTCTTGAAAAATTCTATCTTCTTAAATAATGTGCCAAGACGAAGCTGTAATAAACACGCGAGTGATATTTTATGAGCAAAATATAAGCGAAAATGATATTCATTATTATGAAACTGACTCAGTCTCATTCATTTCTTCAAAGATATTTAGACGTCTGTCTAATGTCTAGTTTATTTATATACACATATTTCTCAATGTGACTCATTATGGATTCATTTCTAATGTGCGATAACTGATGAATAAAACATAAATTTTCTACATAAGCAATATGTTTTAAAATATTCTTTAAGTTATTAAAAATGCAGAAAATTTCTTCGCATTTCTCTAATAATTTAATTATCGCAATCTAGATTTTCTAAATAAAAATAATCATATCGTATCTATTGCTATACAGGATAATATATTTAATGCAGCAACATTTTGAGTTGTGAATAACATATGTAATGACAACGATCGAAGAGAGGAAAGAGAATATAATAAAAGAGGCTGCTACGAAAAAGTTTATAAGCAAACTAGTATCTGTTTACGGCACAATCGGCTCAGTTGTGCAAAACTGTTCAGAGTGAAAAGTCAGAAAATAAGTGATTAGAAGTTATTAATCTGTTACTGATTGAAGGAGATTAAAATGTAATTTTAAGAATTTAATATAAACTAAGAGGCTAATTCTGTGATTTTTATAGTAAAATTGTTTTGGAAACAGTTTGGCATTCGATTATTCTAGAGTGTCCTTTGAATCAAAATTTAAAATTTTAAGAACAGACCGAACAACTTTAAATTTCACAGACAATTTAAATTATTAAAATGTGTCTCATAAATTGAAATTGATTGAAGTGAATTGCATCAAAAGTCATAAAAGAACAAAACAAGAGTAATCTGAATTTATCTGATCATTTACGGGATGATTTGCATTATTTTAAAGCTGAGTGTCTAAAAATATATTTTGATTATTTTTTAAAAAACCAGCTTATTCTAATGTAAAGGAAGAAATTAATAATTTTATTTTTAAACAACTTTAAATTTCCTGATACAAAATTTCTCAAGGAGGTCATTAAAGTAGAATCATTCAAAATGTTCAAAATTTCATCGTATCATATCGTGCTATTTGTTATATATATGATTGTTGATTGGATAATGAGACATTCATAATTCATACACAATTTCTTACAATCGTTCCCGTTGTCATGAATACATATGAAAATATAGAAGGTGGAGAACGAATATTTCCACATAAAAGCGCAAAAATTATAAATTTAAATCACATATGATTTACTGCAGAAATGAGATCTTTAATTCTTGACCCCAATCGAGTGAATCTTCTGTTATCTTTTTATTTCATCTTGAATATACTTCTTAAATAAACATTAATATCAAACTTTTTATTGAAGAAATTTCCTATAAACCAGAGCAATAAAATGATTGCTTTTAAAAAGAAATCTGAATTGCTCAAGATGCTGTTTCAGCAAGGTCAGACAAAATGCAGAAATGCTTTATTACTTAGTTTATTCGTCTTTCAATATTTTTGATTATATTCTACTTCTGTCGAAAAACAGAAATTTTTTTGACGTCTGTATGAAATAACTAAAGAAAGTTTATACAATATGACGTAATAAAAGAGACAATAGCGGACAGGTGTGTTATGATTAAATTATTAAAACTGGACTAAATATATACGTAGCACCAACACAAGAAACGAAGGTGTGGTCCTCATGTGGTCAGTAATTTGCGTACTTAATGACATGCAATGTTCCTCGAACACGATTTCATCTCATTAATGAGTTGTTAAGTTAGTCATAACACAAATGTATTGTCAAAATGATAAAACCGTTAAGGAGACAAATCAGAACTGAGAATTTTAAATATAGTTGACACTTTCAATACAAAACTCATCCCCGATGATTACGCATTTAAACTGAGTGTTTCAAAGTTGAGAAAATAATTAAAAAAGGCATCGACATAAGTAAAATGAAAAATGACAGTTTCAATGACCTTTATTGCAATTCACGTGCTTATATTAAACAATTTAAATGATTTATAGCGATTTTCGTGGCAATTTTAATGCAAAGCATGATTTGAACGAGCAATTGAAACTGATTTGATAATAAAAATAAATAACAGAGAGCAAGAGAACAAAGTCAGAAGAAAGAAAGGCATATTTTGTCGTGTGGAGAGAATTAAGAGAAATAGACGTAAAAATGCGACAACGTTTGATAGCACTTCTATTTTTGGTTTTAATTGACATTTCAATATCAAGTGAAGTTCAAAAAAATAATGAAAAGAGATTAATAAATAGTGAAGTTCTGAATAAGAAACTACTGCCAGATGTGAAGCATCTCATGAAGGATAATATCGATGGAAATCGTCAAAAATTTCTACATCTACTGAATGATTTAGAAGTTGATGGATACAAATTTGTAAATGGTAAGTACCTCATTATGTGCTGTATGTCATTCGCTGGAATTTTTTTGTTCACTTGAAATTCCTGACCGTGAATCACTGTTTTATTCATTTTACATTCATTACGCGTTTAATTTACAATGCAGTGTGAGTGACACATTTCGATGTCATTAATAAAATATGTATAGTGCAATTTTGATATATTCAAATTCAATCGGAACAAATGAGATAAATTAGGAACCTTAATTCATTTACATATTAGAATTACTCCTGTTACAATTATTGCTTTATTGTTGTATTTAAATGAAATTTAAATTACTGTTGAGTGTTTAATAAGAAATAAATTAATATCAATATTAGATATCAGAGTTAGCATCCATGCAACTTTAAGTGTAGACAACCTCTTAAATGTTATCAATATCTCTTATAATCATCGTTTAAATACAATCGAAAATAAAAGCTAATAAAAAAACCGTCCAAAAAGTATAATATCCGAACATACAATGAGCATACTCAGAGCACATTATTTGTGAGCTTGATAGCTTTTGTGAGAATGTGCTCATTTTCATACGTTTCAGTGATGCGCTTACGGTACCTGTTTGAGCATGCTCATTGAGTACATTCCTGTGTGACATATATTAAGCTCATTGAGTAAACTCATGAGCATACTCAAATATACATTTTTAAAAAATGTCAGCTTCCTTAAGAAATCATTATTTAAACGTTTTCGATTAAGCTGACATTTTTAAAAATGTCAGTTTCCTTAAAAAATCATTATTTTAAAGTTTTCGATTAAGCTGACATTTTTTTAAAAAAGGTACACAATTTGTGAAAAAAATTGTGTGACACAGAAGTGAGTTTGCTCATTATATGCTCATGAGTACATTCAGTAAGTGCACTCATATGAGAATGTAAAAAAAATTGTGTGACACAGAAGTGAGTTTGCTCATTATATGCTCATGAGTACATTCAGTAAGTGCACTCATATGAGAATGTAAAAAAAATTGTGTGACACAGAAGTGAGTTTGCTCATTATATGCTCATGAGTACATTCAGTAAGTGCACTCATATGAGAATATAAAAAAAATTGTGTGACACAAAAGAGAGTTTGCTCATTATATGCTCATGAGTACATTCAGTAAGTGCACTCATATAAGAATATAAAAAAAATTGTGTGACACAAAAGTGAGTTTGCTCATTATATGCTCATGAGTATATTCAGTAAGTGAACTCATATGAGTGAATTCACATAAGTATGTTCTTAATATTCTCATGAGTACACTCGTTGAATGTACTCACGGGAGCTTATATTTTTTTTTTGCAAAAAAATAAAGTGAATACATTCGTAATGAACTCCTGTGCATGCTCAGTTGAATGAGCTTCCATGAGTATAATTTTTGAGTGAACTCACTTATATGCTCACTTTTCTGAGCATGCTCTTTGTATGTTCAGGATTAATCCTAATAGCTATCCAATAACAATTTTCTATTTTATTTATAAATAAGTTTTAAATTGATTTTATCAGACTGTATGTTTTGATTATCATGACAGATTATAGAAGGGTCATAGCAATGAAGTTCGGAAAAACTAGATAATAAAACTCAATTAATTAATTTCTCATTTATTTAATATGATATTAATTATAGCACATTTCAAAAAGCTTTCAATAGATCAATTTTTAATATCTAATAATTTCGATAACGAAATGATAAAATTGATAAATTGAAAAATGACATTGATAAAATTATCATCAAGAGTAGCCATTAAGCTTTAAAATCCCCTTCGAATTAAATTTTTAAATAAAGTTTTAAAAAAAAAATTCTGTCACATAGATGCACCGTTCACAATTATCATTCCGAATATGAATTTCGACATTCAAACCATAGATAAGTCAAGTTTACAACAGTTTGTTTTTGAGCACATCATACCTGGTACACAAATCAAAGCATTAAAAAATGGAGAAATTTATGGAAATATGAACCACAATACTATTGAAATAAAAAGTCTAACGCCAGACAAATGGACAGTCAATGATGCAAACGTACTTAAGTTCAATAGTATTACAGCCAAATTAATTTCTTTTGTAGAAATCGATGGATATCTTAACGATCGAAAAAATAATAATGCAAAAAGGAACATTCAAGATCATAACAGGTAAAACTAATAGTTCTGTTCCGAGTATACTAAAGATAAAAAAAATTTAAAAAAAATACTTTCAGCTACAATGAACCGCAAAAACTTGTGCAAAAAGATGTTAACAAATCTGATGCTACATCTAAAGGCAATAAAGTTGGATTGTTACAAAACTATTTGTCAACAATGAAATCGGGTACGAAAGTATTTCAACATTTCTTATCCACTAGCAATCTTTCACAAATTTTGGAAGGTATAAATCCTTTAAATATTCTTAAATTTATATAGCCAATACAAGAAGTATATTAATTATTATAGATACTTCAGTCAGCTACATAATTCTAGTTCCTTCAGACTCCGCATTTCAACGATGGCATCCAATTGATTGGGGATTTTATCCATTTAGTGTACCTGAATTTACAGAAGATATTATGAGGAATCATGTTATTCCTCAAAAACAACAATTTAATTTAAAGTTGATCGACAAAGAGCATAAAATGAAAACTCTTGGTGGCGAAATTGTGGTTTTCAATAATCAACGTGAGTTAAAGATGCTCTTAATAATTATACAACGTAAAACTGTGTTATTAATATCTTAATAAAATTAATTTTGTAAAACAGCTATAGCAACTGTCAACAATGTGTCGATCATGTCTAACGCAACCTTGGCTAATGGAAATGATGTTTTTATAATATCGGAAGTATTATTCATGACTGATTCTAAAGTATCCAAATTACATCAACAAAACAAAGATAAAGAAACACCTCCATTATTAGCTTTCCCTTGGTTTGGATCTCAATTCCTATCACATGCTTTTCTTGCCCTGGAAAGAGACAACCGTTTTACTCAAATCACGAGGTAGGACAAAGATTTTCTAGTTTTTTAAATTGTTTAAATAATTTTTTCTTTAATTTTTGCAGATTCTTTCATTTCGCTGAAATCATTGCATCATCAATAGTTGGGTCCAATTACACATTTTTTGTCCCATTCGATGACGCATTTGAAAAGTATGGCTTTGATCAATTACCAGACACAACTATTTCTTCAAAGAAATTTGTCAGCATGATCTTGAACCATTTTGTTAAAGGACGGCTTTACGATCGTGATCTTACGAATGATGCAGTATTCGATACGGTTGGTGGAAAAACATTAAAAATCACTAGAGATTCATCAGATCGTGTATTTGTCAATGGTGCAAAAATTGTTGAGTCCGAAGTTTTTGTTTACAATTTGGGTACAATGTTTTATATCGATGACATTTTTTTTCCTGAGATATTGGAAAAAGATTATAAATTAGTAACACAACCTACAAAAGATCGCGAAGATCGTGAAGATCATGAAGATCGTGAATCTTCAGAAGACTTTTTTACTACTGAAATGCCGAATATAATGGAACAACAAGAAAAATTGACAACAAAAACTAACAGAGAGCCTACAACATCTGAACATCACTCGGTTTTACAGGCCTTACTTACAACAAGAGCAGACGTTGAATTCGTTCCAAGCGCATTTTCAGAATTCGCCGAAGAAGTGGAAGATTTTTCAAATGCTGAAGTTTTTATTACGCCTAAAGCACTTCCATCACGGTTAATTTCTGCTCCACCAAAAAAATAGTTTGAATAGAGTTATGTTTTTTATTTCGTTTCCTTTGTGATTATGAAATAAATATTCTCAATAAATGTTATGAAAAGAATCTGAAATATCATCGTAATGGATAATTTTGAGAGACTGGTTAAAATTATAATTAATAAGAGATCGATATTTGGATTAACTTTATTTTATTAATTCTTTCAATGAGTTTTAAAATTATAAACCCTAAAATATTTGCTTACTTTTGCAAATAATATGATCAAATTATTATTACATGTTGGATGTAAAAAAGTTTTAAAGAACTGTATATGTAATATATTAGTAAATAATTAACTGTTATGTTGAGGTTTGACGTATTAAAAGAAATAAAAATTTTGAGAAATTCACTTTATTGTATGTAATATGAATTGAAGTTTTTTTTATAAATTTAAAAAATTTATCTACAATTTTGATAGTGTAAAGTTTACATTACCAGAAGGAATATTAACGAAAGCACTACGAATTTGCAAATCATCTCCATTCCATTCAATTTTGAAGCGTCTTAATAAATTTATTAACAAAATTTCCATCTCTATATTTGCAAATCTTCTACCAACACACGAACGAACACCATGGCCAAAAGGTAAGAAATGAAATTTCGTTGATTGGTTTAATTGAGGACATTTTTGTTCCTTTGACTTAATCCATCGTTCAGGCAAATATTTATTTGAATGTGGGAAAATGTTTTCTAGACGATAAAACAGCTGTGGCCAAGTAACAACATAGGTTCCTTTGGGAATAAAGTAATTAGAAAGTGTTAAGTCAACATCTGTTTTTCGCGATGTTCCTGATACTGGTGGATACAAGCGCATTCCTTCTTTAATACATGCTCTTAAATAAGGAAGATTCGAAAGTGATTTGGCATTTAATTCGGAAGTTAAAATTGTTTTTAAAATTTCCTCTCGTAATTTTTCTTGCTTCTCGGGATTTTTAGCAAGACAATAAAGGATGCCGGTGATCGCAGATGCAGTCTGTTAATTTCAAAAAATTAATTTTTTTTTATATTCAAATTTTCAAACTACATATTTTTCGTTTACAGTATCAATTCCAGCTATCATTGAATCAACTGCCATAATGATTGCAACACGTTTATCAATCTTCAGAAGTTGTTGGAAAATTCCATTTACATTTTCTACTTTTCCTGCTTTATTTTCTCTTGTCTCCTCTATTGTGGCTTCTATATAGTTCATAACAATACTGTTGGTTCAAAAAGTAATTTTTTTAAGGTTCTTAAAATTTTTAAAAATAAATTCTATACTTAAGTAAGTCATTGTTGACATTTATATATTCTTTAAAAGCTTTTGTGTGATAATATTTCCAAATTGAAGGTGAAACTTCAAAGTCTACGCACATAATGAAAAACCTTCGAATCAGCTGTATGGAAAGACTTTTAAATTTAATTTAAAACTGGAGAAAAAAATATTTGATTTTATATTTACGTCTATCATTTTTTCTGCAGCCACATCCCCATTAGTATTGTTGTTAAATAATCCAAGACGTCTATCCAAAGTTATATTCGCAATGCTTTCCAGACTCCATAAATTTAAATCTCGATTTGACATTTGATTACTAATATCTCTTGTAAGTATGTAATTAATGAAATCTAATGTAATGTCATTTATTGATGCTGTATACCGTTGAACCATTTTTGGTTGTAACATTACTGGGTTTACGAGTGTTCTGATTTTATACCATCTGTCACCATGCCTTTGAATTTTCAAAATGATAAAAACAATTTGATAGCATTTGAATTGTAAAAGTCTTACTCAGAAGCAATGCTTCCATATTCTCCTCCGTAGACATCAGGTCGTATTTTTTCTCGAAAATATTTCATTGGTTCAAACGAATATCTGTATGGCTTTTTGCTTTCATTCCTTAAAATGGTTTCGTTATCACTATCGTTGTAAGAAAATATCATTTCTGGTTTTCCAAATAACGATGGCATTTTAACTATATTCCCATACTCTTCATTGATCATTCTAAAAATTTAGTTAAAATTAAAACCTTCAAGCTAATATATTTTTCTTGCAATTTAAATCACTACCTATGCATTTCATTTAATCCTAATCCATAGTATTTTCCTGAAAAATTTATTGTTTATATTTTCATCATGATTAATAAAGTGTAAGTAAGTATTGAAAAGTATAAACGTGTATTAAATAATTGAGTGCATGTAAATATTCCGATATAAATAATAACACGAGACTCGCTTCAAAGTTTCAGCAACTAGTCGCAACTTTAATTTTTTGTTTCGTATTGTCATTAATAACATAAAGTTAATTAAAAATCACACCTTTTGGAAGGAATCTTAAAACTATTTCCCATCGTTTCATACGCGGAATGTCAACGAACTTTTTTGCATTTTTTATGACATGATGAGACACTATGTCATTTTTTAATGGCATTGTTGATGTATTTCTAAAATAATTCACGAAGGAAATTCGATGACATTTTCTATAAATCGGATTCATATTTTCACAGAACAATTTTAAACTTCCTTCCCTTTTGACTTTCAAAAGAAAACTGAATAGAAACACTAGACTTCGTAAAACCTAGAGTGTAAAATACTAAAAAAGGTTGTTATTGTATGTGACTACTAAAATAACAAGCAAATGTTTGTAATTTTTATTTGTTATTGTGTACTTTATTAACTGCGTACAAACACTTTAAATTTTAAAATTTTAATCTTAATATATTTTTGTTCTAAATTTGCCGGCTTGTTTTTTGGAGAGAGATAAAAAAGAAGAATTTAATTTATAAACTGTTATGGTAGGCCTTACTGGATACGAATATCACAAATTACCTCTTTATCTGTTATTTACAATCTGTTTATTTGACAAAACAATAAGATAAACTTACAAATAGCTTTAAATCTTCAGAAGAATCATAATGTTAGTCAAAACTTTTGTCTAGTATCACTTTTGATTTTGCCGCATTTACTTTAAAAAAAATTGGTTTTTAAAAAGTCATTCAAAAATGGAACAATATTGCAGCAAAGTTTATGAACTTAAATCATATGATATGATGTTTGATGACTATTTAAAAAGTTTAGGTGGATAAATTAATATGAACGATTTTGAAACAAATAATCATTTAAATTTGCTATGCAGGATTGAATTTTTTAATTCGCAAGCTGGTTAAAAACTGCACCGTTCGTTCTAAACTTGTAAAGATTGACGACAAATATTACGAATTTCATATTTCTACAACTCTTAAATCATCTATTCAAAAATTCTGTCCCGGTAGATCAATGGATGTAACAACTATGGATGGACGAAAAATTAAAAACATTTTTACAATTGAAGAAAATAAACTAATTGAAATGCAAATTGAAAGTAATAGAACTATCATGATCATCAGAGAATTTTTTAAAACTGAAATGCTAGGTGAAATCAGAATTGGTGAAATCATTACAAAACAAAGAAGTATACTTATTAATTAATTTGAAATTTTCAAAAGTAGTTTAAAATATGTTGTAAGTTTTAGAAGAAGAAAATAAACACAATAAATGAATTTAAAATTATTTTTTTGGCTATTATTTTTTTTAAAGTAATAAACAGCAATAAATGTTGCACTTAATTCAAGATTTTAAATCAAAAATTTTATTTATTTTATTCTAAGATATTGAATGTATAGTAAAATATTAAATATTTACACTCTCGAATTATAATTTTTGCTTGATTAGTCATTGCAAAAAGTCACACAATCACATTTGTTACTCGTGTGTTTAATAATGTTTACATGCGAGAGAAAGAGCAAAGAATTAAATTGAGAATTTTTGAAAAAATATCGTCGCATGTTCGTGTAAGAAAAGCTCCTCTACTATGCATCTCAGTTACTCGAAAGAAATCCGACTATACGAAACGGAAAGAAAATTGCTGAAAAAGAGAAAGAATTTTTTTCTTCCTCCCTATTTTAATTTTAATTTTGTTAATTAATTGTTTTCTCATAATTTCTTCTATCGAAAAAAAATAGTTTTTAGAAATCTTTGTCTTGAAAATATTTTTGAAAAAATGTGAATGACATTCATCGTGATAATTGAAACAGTGAACAAACAAAAAGATGTTGTTGCAGTTACCTAATAGTTATTAATTTTAACTCTTAAGTAAAAAAATAATTTACTTTAATGAAATCAGTTTTACATCGTCCCAATACATATCTTTGAAAAAATATATAGCTAAAAAATTATCGTGTGGGAGTGTTGAAATTATTATAATACATTACGGTATTAATTTTTCTGCTTTTATAGTAAAAAGTTTAATGATTATTAAGTAAATATCAATTTATAATTCAGTCATAAACAATTGTGTACCGAAATTCATAAATACATTACAAATGCTCAAGCGAATTTCAGTTAAAATACCAATAAAATAATGAAAATTTTTCTTCAATCTGAAAAGTCGCAATGATCACATTCTCACTCACACACAATCATAAAATGTGTTTTAATCGCAGTGCCCGCGGTGCTAAAAATAGTAAATCCACAGCAGTAAAGTAGTGGTATCGGATATATACGATATAGTGTACACATATTTAAAAGATTCATATGTTTACTCTCTTAGATCTCTTCTTAAAATTTTGTATGCACGATTTTATTTTTTTTTTCCTGTTAACTTTATGAATTTTCATCTCATCTTTTATGATTCATGAATTAAATGAAAATAAAGTTTAAAGAGAGAATTTTCTTCGGAGTTAAATGAGGCGTAACATTAAAGATGCTACATATTCAAACAAAAGTGATTATTAGTCTGATGATTCATGATCAATTTATGAAATTATTGAAACATTACAAAAATAGCTATGACACGATGTCAAATGATGTATCAGATATTATTCTAACGAGTCAAATGTGACATTAGAGTGCTAATCATAAGAAACCATTGACACTTATTTTATAAAAAAAAATGCAATAAGAATGAGCATTAAAATTCTAAACACTTCTTCAATTGTTAAATGGAATTTTATTTTATATGCAAAACATGTAACAGTGAATATTGTTTTTTAATCACTTTACGATTTGTCTTGGTTTTGATGCAATTTATTAATTTTTGAATGCAGCAAAGAAAAAAATTTAAAAATTAATGTGTTAATTATGCATTCGCGACTAGATGTAATCATTGACATCAGTTTGCTCTTCATTCATTTAATGTTAATGAAAATGAATTGAGAAACTTTATTTCGGTGTAGACATGAAATAAAAACAATATTTTTGAGATGTTTATTTAATTTGCAAAGCCCACGCACGTTGTGTAGAAACTGAATTATAGTAAAATATTTATTTAAGTATTGTGTTTATACTATTGTGACATTGAAATTACATTTTAGGAAGCTTAAAATTCAATTTTTTTTTGTGTCAAATATACATTATGAAACTTTAATTATTTATATGAAGGCTTTCGAAATATGATGTTAAACACTGAAAAGATTCTAATAACCAATAAGTTTAAAAAATATCTTTTATCTCACTAGTCCAAAATTATTCATTGTTTTATTTTATGCTCTACATTTAGAATCTCAATCTCACAAGTTAAGCAAATATTTTGTGTAGAATTTCTTGTGATAAAAAAAATCTTTAAAAAAATTGAAAAAATATTTCAATTCATGAAAAAGTGCTGTGCCATTTAATAATCAACAAATATGTCTGAAAATAGTAATAAGGAACAAATCGAAGCTCCATTGAATTCAAGTGCCATTGACATGTCATTATCGATGCAACAAACTTCGATATCAAGTATGACAAATCCAAATGAATTAAAAAGATCAGTTAAGATCCAAGAATTACCTAGTGCTGTTCTAAATAATCATGTAACACCGGCTGGTATTTCACGAGAACGAAGCTTTGTCAGGGCTTCAAATCCACAAGTAATATTTAATTATTATTTTTTTAATTCCTGGCAATTCTTATAATTTGAAAATCATATTTTATTTAATGACATAGAACTACAACATTTTTCAGAATATGAATAAACGCCGTAGTATGGGCTTTCAACAGCAAATTAGAATGAAACCAGCACTAGAAATATACAGGCCACCGAGTAATTTTTTTTTATCCATTTGTGAATCCTATCTGAATATTTTGTTGTCATTCCAGATATCCGAATGGATATTCCACAAAATAAACTTAATGTTCACGCTCAAGAATTTACAATGGGAATGCAATCTAATATGGGAAACAACAGGTACAGAATTACGTTTTAAATTATTTTCGATGGACTGTTAAGGGGCCGTTCACTTATTACGTAAAAAACCGACGTTTTTCACCCCCCCCCCCCTTGTTACAACTCACCACCCCCCCCCCCCCCCTGAACGTTCATAATTCAAATTTTTTTCGTGAACTTTTTTTTAAAAGACAGACGACAGTTAGAACGTTACATTCTTCTTGACACCCCCCCCCCCCCCCCCCTTCCTATGTTACATTTTGTTACAATTTTTCAAAACAACCCCCCCCCCCCCCTAAAATGCGAACGTAATAAGGGAACGGCCCCTAAAGAATGTATTTTTGATCACCATAGATCTTCATTGCCACTATACAACACATCCAGTAATCTTCAACACTCGAAATCAAGTGGAAATATGCAAATGCAAATTGCTCAGCATAATCGCCAAGTTATGCATCAATTACAGCAACAACGTCTTCTTTTAGGAGGATCACATCCATTACAAATGAATAGTGGAATTATTCATCAAGCATCTCATATGCCTTTAGTCAATTCACCATCTTCGGGAAATATTCTACATGTAATAAAAGCATTAATTTAAATCTATTATGTATGTAAGTCTTTACTGTTTTTTGAATTATTTTAGCAATCATCTCCAAGAGTAAAATTTGCACCAGAACCAATTATTCATCAATCGTATCAACAACCTGTTTCCAACGGCAACAGTAACAATAATGTAATCATAAATAATATGTTAACTCCACTTCCACTCCAAAGATCTAAGTCTATGTCATCAGCGGATGCTCTTACAAGAGGTATTGCTAGTTTGGGATTAGGACTAAGTGTTGAAGATATAGGACCATTTTCTCCAGAAATAATGGGAATGATTAGTGAAGCTTCTGACGATCCCAACCAATTAAATGCAAGATGCTTGATGGAATTAGCTACTCATTGCATGAATCGTGCCATAGAAGGACGAAGGTAACAATTTTCGTCAAGATTAGTGCAATACTTTCTAATGTCTTTTTATAATAGATACTCCCTTCCAATTTCACGTTTGTGCATTTCAATTATATCTAAAGAACAAAAGGAAACTTTTCTCGAAGCTCTCTTAAATCTTTGTCGTCAATACTATCAAGAACGTGACAAAGTTCTTGGATCAATTCCGAACTCAAAGAATCCATCACGACCACGATTTACAGCTTTCATGGCATTTCTTACAGAAATGTTTTGTCAGCTGAAACGACGTCAATTGCAATTGAGAACACAATGTGATGGTATTTCACCACCATTGGTTTTATTGACTCTACTTGGTAAATGCTGTGAAGATTGCGTAAAATCACCTGTTCGATCACTATCCGAGGTAACTAATTTTGTATTGCTTGTACTTTCAAACCTTTATAATCGTAAGTTAATTTGTTTATAGATCGAATGCCTATTCTTCGTTTTGACTTGTATTGGAAAAGATCTCGAAATGCAAATCCCACAGCAATTAGAAACATTATTTATAAATGTCCGTGATGCATTCTTAAACTCATCAGCATCCCAGCCTGCTGTTCGTCGAACATTATTGCAATTGATAGAATTGCAAGCTTCAAAATGGCAGTTGCCATGTAACACTGTTCTCTATTATTACCCATCATCAAAGTAAAAGAACTTTTGGAGAATCCTTGTTATGTGTGATGAGCAGTAAATGTCATTAATATTTTGTTTTGATCTGTTTTTCTTGTTTTCATAAATCACTTCACTTTTGTTTAATCCTCTTTTGATTATTTTTTCCGATTTTAAAACTTTTAAGCTTAATTTTTATTTGCTTTGTATAAATTGAGCAAAACGAAAAAAAAAATGAAAAACGAACAAATAATTGCGAAAAATAGTTAATGGATTAACTTTACAATTACAAGCACAATTTATAAAAAATTAATAAAATAATTAACCATTTAATGCTGCTTGTAATTGAACATATTTATTTCAATTGTTATAATTGTAACTTAAAAACGTACTACATGCACTCAAAACAATAAAGTTTTTATGAAAATTTGTATCGATTTTATTGTAAGTGGGTGTAAATTTAGTCACCTCTTGTAAGCACATACAAATGCTTGCAATTTTTATACTAAGAAGATTAATAACTTTGAAACTGAAATGGAAGCATAAAAACAATGTTGCTTATTTGATGTAGTTTGAATTTTAAACATAGCTACAAATTATGGGTTTATTTTTGGAAATTTTTGTTTTGAATTCCATGGAGCTTTGAGTAAAAAGCTCAGGAAATTAAATGAATTAATCAGACATATTAAAATGTATACAATTTATAAAATAAAATAACCAGGAACTGTAATTGAAAAAAAGCAAAATAAATCATAGTTTTTTTTATGTTATTTTTGTTTTTAGATAAATTTTCCTTTTAAAAGGAAATGGAATTCTTTTTGGTATTTTCTTATTTCTTTTAATTTTACTTTCATTACTTCATACAATTAAAAAATGCATTTAAATTATTGCGGGTACAAATATTCTTCACATGCATAATACAACATCATCGTCACAATCGATGCATGAAAGCATGATAAACATGTAAATGCTATTAGATCATAGATTTTTTTTTCTTTTACTATAAAGTACAACACCAAGAAGCGCATCAAAATCAAGTTCAATGCTCATGAAAAATTGCCGATTATGAAATAGAAATAATTTTTTTAATTGTTTGCTTGAAGATTTTAAATTATTGTTTTTCAATCAACGAAATGAATATATGGATGAATGAATTCACGAAATTTGATTAAATGAAAATATTTCAGAGGTTTTATTTTCTGGTAGAAATGCACTAAGCTGAGAAATTTTTGAGAGCTTCATGTAAGTTTATTATATTCACACCGTTTTCACGTGTGAATCTATTGGTTTTGTTCAGATTGAAAAATCAGTTTTTCGCATTTTGTGAGAAAACAAAGCAAAATTGGTTATAAAAGGGCAAGAAGAAAAGTTTGTGCCTGAAATTTTACATCATTTTCAAAAAACAGATTTCAAATTGGTTGTGGCATTGCTGAGAAAATCGCAAAATACGCTTTCTGTAAGCAAACAAGCAAGCAAGCAAGCAAGTTAATCAGCAAGAAATCTCAATAACGAGACATCGTAGAGACTTCTAGTTTTTTACATTTGATCCGTGCTGCTCTATAGAAGAGCTGTATTGTTTTTGGGCAAGGTAGGAACAGCCGTTGCTTCAGAAATGGCAAAAAACTTTCCTTTCTTACGAATTTTTTAAAACAAAAGTTGACTGTGATTTTTATAAAATTCAACTTTGGATGAAAATTTTTTTTTAAAAACTTTTAAAGAATATTTGGCATATTCGTCAAGCTTTATACCTTCAAACTTATGCTGAGCGTAGCTCAGCTGACTCGATAGCTTTATAACTTCAAACTTATGCTGAGCGAAGCTCCACTGCCTCTCTAGCTTCATATCTTCAAACTTATGCTGAGCGTAGCTCAGCTTACGCGATAGCTTTATAACTTCAAACTTATGCTGAGCGAAGCTCAGCTGCCTCTCTAGCTTCATATCTTCAAACTTATGCTGAGCGTAGCTCAGCTTACGCGATAGCTTTATAACTTCAAACTTATGCTGAGCGAAGCTCAGCTGCCTCTCTAGCTTCATATCTTCAAACTTATGCTGAGCGGAGCTCAGCTGACACTCTAGCTTTATAATTTCAAACTTATGCTGAGCGTAGCTCAGCTTACGCGATAGCTTTATAACTTCAAACTTATGCTGAGCGAAGCTCCACTGCCTCTCTAGCTTCATATCTTCAAACTTATGCTGAGCGTAGCTCAGCTTACGCGATAGCTTTATAACTTCAAACTTATGCTGAGCGAAGCTCAGCTGCCTCTCTAGCTTCATATCTTCAAACTTATGCTGAGCGTAGCTCAGCTTACGCGATAGCTTTATAACTTCAACTTATGCTGAGCGAAGCTCCACTGCCTCTCTAGCTTCATATCTTCAAACTTATGCTGAGCGTAGCTCAGCTTACGCGATAGCTTTATAACTTCAAACTTATGCTGAGCGAAGCTTAGTTGACTTATCAAGCTTCATACCTTCATACTTATGATGGGCAAATCTTGGTCTATCCATAAGACTTATGATAGTACGGTGTGAATATAATCCGCATTGGGTTTCTACCCGATACACTAGTTTGTACCTTTATTTGTTGGTCTAAGTGGATTTTTATTTTTTATTGTGAAAATTAATTTTGTATTATTTTCTCAAAGATCCTAGCGAAGTGAAGAATTTTTTTTTTATTAATAAATGATCTTAGATGTTTATTGCAAAAGCATTTGTAGTCCCCATTTTGTTCACTTCATAAATCATAATTTTTTGATGACTTGTTTCAGGTGTGTAGTTTTAAGCATAAAGTTTGTTTACAATTTTCATGCACGAAATCAATTATGATTATCGTTGTGGAATGTATTTTATGTTTCTAAAATTTCTCATTCAAATGTTACTTTTTTTCATTGCGTTCAACTCAAAAAAAATACAATACATCCCTCCCATTCCTTTCTTCTAATCACTTCATTTCTTTCGACGAAATAATAGCAAAATTGAGTAGTGCATGGAACTACTATAAATAAATGTGCATTTAAGGTAATTATAATCAGTAAACATTTGAAATTAGGATAAGATAGACATATACAGTAAATATTAGTTCAGTTATGAGACTTTTTCAGGTAAGCCTTTGAGTTTTATGGAAATAAAAAAAAAACTTTAAAAAAAATTATTGATAATGCAGATAGAGACAGTGCTAGTGTTAATATCACTGATTACACTATCAAGTGGATATAAAGAAGAACCAAATGAATATGAACATGACAGTGTAAGACATATAGATTATGAACAAGATCAAATGCCAGTTAAAATAAACGGTGCACAAAAAGTTAAACGAATGCTTTTTTATAAACAAATGCCAAATGAATATGAGCGTGAAAGTGTGAATTATGCTATGGATGAAAATAATCAAACACCAGCTCAAGATAGAAACTGGCAAGTGAGACCAAAAGTTAAAAGAATGTCACAAAAAGGTGGAAAAACTGTTCATATATATCTCAAAAATGAAGACAAAGCTCAACAACGTTTATCGAAACAAACCAAACGTTCTACAACCACAACAACGACTACAACTAATAAGCCAGGCAAAACTGAAGAAATTGAAACACAGACAAGAAAAACACCTGAATTAACTACTAAAGCTGATAATATTAGGAATATAGAATATACTGACACTAAAAAACCCAGTGACAGTCTTCCATCAGGATCTATTCCAAGTCGTCAAACGGCAAATCCATTAGATTCAGAAACAGAATCAAGCATTCATCATCCAGAGGTTATTAAAGAAAAAATTAAGATTAAACATCATCATCACCACCATCATCACAATCATGTTAAAACTGTGGTTAAAAAGGAGCCATTTCCAGTCGAAAAAATCGTCCATGTACCAGTTGAGAAAATCGTAGAAAAAGTTGTTGAGAAAAAGGTTCCATACAAGGTAGAAGTCGAAAAAATTGTCCACGTTCCTGTCGAGAAAAAGGTGCCATTCAAGGAAAGTAGCAATATTAATATTTTTTAAAAAATAACTTTATTATTATTTTATGTCTTCAATAGGTTGAGGTTCCAGTTGAAAAAATTGTTGAAAAAGTCATCCACGTACCAAAACCTTATCCAGTAGAAAAACTTGTTGAAAAAATAGTCAAAGTTCCGGTAGAAATTCAAAAATTTGTTGAAAGGAAGGTAAGTCTCTCATAAATTCCGACATGCTTATTGTTAATCCATTAAGTTACACAAACAATGATAGAAGAAAAATTTAATTGCTGACAGTTTTAAATAAATAATTCAAAAAAAAATGTGTCTTAATTCCTATAAGGTTCCATATGAAGTTAAAGTCCCAGTGCATATACCCGTAGAAAAAATTGTTGAAAAGATTGTACATGTTCCACAACCATATCCAGTCGAAAAATTTATTGAGAAGAAGGTAAGCTTAATATAAGACAGTTCTTTAAGATATATGAAGAAAAAAAAATCATTTACTCTGATAAAGGTACCATATCCAGTAAAAGAATATGTCAAAGTTCCAGGTAAGTCATTAAACAAATTAAAAAGCTTTAAATACGAACATCATGTAAAATTATAGAACCCTATCCCGTGGAAAAAATTGTTGAAAAGTACATCAAGGTTCCAACACCATATCCAGTAGAAAAGAAGGTAAAAGCAATAATATGGTAACATTGGGTTAATTATTAGTAGTGCATGAAAGAAAAAATTAAAATTAACATCTGCAGCGAATTCCAAAATCTTTACTCACAGGTGCAAGTTCCCTATCCCGTCCACATAGAAAAAATAATTAGAGTACCCGTAGAAAAAATTGTAGAGAGAAAGGCGAGTTATATTCTTGATCATTTAATTTTTAATTGATAGAAGTCTTTTTTTAAAGCTTTATGGTTTATCCAATAGGTACCCGTGGAAGTCCCAGTGTAAGTTATTACAGACTAAAATACAAATGATGATTTAATACTTATTATAATTTTGGAACCCTTTTTTTTGGTAAAAATTAGTCACATCCCGGTAGTGAAAGAAATTGAAGTCCCAAAACCTTATCCAGTTGAAAAAATTGTGGAAAAATACATAAAAGTCCCTACTCCATATCCCGTGAAAGTAGCTGTACCAGTTGAAAAAATTAAAGAAGTTAAGGTTCCTGTATTTATTCCGGCTCCTCCACTTAAAGCAGCCCATCATCATAACCAACAAAATTCAATAGAGAATCCATTTACTGGCTTCACTGGAAATTTTAATCTAGATGATTCATTTTTTGCAGCATCAAAAAATCATGAAAATTTAAAAAAGAAACATAGATTTAATCCAGATAATAATTCTCAAGACGATGAGCCATATAGAAGAAATATAAATCTCAAGGGAAATAGACAACATCAACATCAGCAGTTTATGCAACAACAACAACAACAACAACAACAAAATCTATATGATCAACTTCAAAAGCATCAAAATCGCCAGAATCAGGAACATCAACAGCAGCAAATCCGTCAAATTCAGCAACATCAACAGCAGCAGCAAAATCGTCAAAATCAGGAACATAAAAATCAGATTAATCATCAACATCAAAATTTGAATCATCAACAGCAAAATAACCCTCAACAAAATCAGCATCAGCAAAGGAAACCTGCCGATAACAATATTATTCATCATCAAGTGAATAATTATCAAAATAATAAAGCGCAGCAGAATCAACAGAACCAGCAGCATCAATCACACAATCCACAATTTGCAGTCGTATCAATCCCAAAGAATTTACAAAAGATCCCATTCGATACACCCCAGCCACCTAGTGGATTTACATTAAATACTAACTTTAATAATAATAACCATAATCAGAAGCAAAATAATCAAAATCCTCATCACTTGCCACTTTCACAAAATCAAAATGGTCCTGGATCATACTCTATAAATCATCATTTCCCTTCACAAACTTTAAAACCTGTTGACGATCATGTCACAGAAGCAAGCACACAATATGAAACATTTAGTGCTTATCCAAATGGTCAATATGTGCAACATGTTGTAACACCTCAAAATTATTATCAGGCACAAATGCCACAACAAGAAATTCTTCCAATACCACAACACCAAACCACATATAATCTACAAGCTCATCCTCAGCAACAATTTGCACAAGCTTCAGAACCTCAGTATCAAATCCAATATCCTAATCAACAGATTAACCAACAATTTCAACAGTCACAAGCTATTGTAAATCCTGAAGTTTTTCAACCAAGCTTTGGCATACCTCAACAATAATCTCAAGTGGAAAAAATATAATTCAGTAACTCCAACCATACACTAAAGGCTGTAAATATGTTTTGATAATCTTGTTAATGTTTCTTGTTATTTGTTTAATATTTAATCAAATTCTTGTTATTTGTTGAAATAATTGTTTAAATTATATTTTAATTAAGAGTTATCTTATTTGTTGACATTAAATTAACAAATTGAGTGTGAAGTTCTCATTTGCATCTCTCATTTACAAAATAATAAACTTATTTAAATAAAGAGGTCGTTCACTTATTATTTTCGCATTTGAGGGGAGGGGGGGTTGTGAGTTGTAATAATCTTTCTTTATTTCAAATTTGGAATTATTGTAGTTTAAGTTACATTTCTTTGAGTCTTATTTTGACACCAGCCTGAATATGGCTTTAATTCAACTATATCTTGATTAATTATTAATTTTGATGAATGAGATTTACATATATCATGAAAATGTGGCATGAAAAGTTTAAAAAAATTGCCGAGCGAGAAAAAAAAAAGCTTTTTTTTAAGCTTATGAACTAAGTTAATAAATTATTTTTGAACTGGCTTGTTCGGTGCTGGTGGGTAGCTCATGAAGCCATACTTCACCATGAGTTTAAATGCAGTTCCTTGAGGTGCATCCTTTGGGATCTTTCCGACTTCGTCTACGAAACTGCAGAACTGATTTATTGCTTCTTCAATGTTGGGGATTCTCTTTAGACGTTCTTGAGCTTCTGTGAATTTCTTGAAAAGGCTTTCATTCTTTACTGCTTCGTTGAGTTTCTCTGCATAACTGATATTATTGATCAGTTGTTGCTGATTAATCTCTTCTTTAAATGTTGCTGATGAGTTACTTGCAGCATTCACTGGATGTGAATGAGCAGAAACTTGATGTCGTTTGCTTAACGATGGAAAATTGTTACTGTCCAAAAACTTGATATCTGTGGCAGCATTTTGAGTTGTGGTTTGGCTCTTGACTTTTCGATTCTTTTGGAATACGAAATGAACGATGGGCACAGTCTATAGCTGGCAGCATGATCGCCATTGCAATTAATGCACTTGGCATTTCCATCACGAGTGGTTCGTTGACATTGATTTGGTCCGTGAACTTCCGTGCACTTGACGCATCGGAACTTATATCCATAATTTTGAGATGAGTGACCCCAAAGTTGGCAGTTGAAGCACTGCGTTGGGCTTTTGTTGCCCTTCTTGATGTTCTCCCACTTGACGATGATGTTGTCGATGTTACGGTGGTTATGATTGAGTACGTTGATGTTCACACTTTCATCTTGAAAATGCACAAGATAAAAGGTGGAATCGGGCTTCTTGACGAGAATTGTCACTTTGACAGCTGAAACCTTGGCTTCTTGAAGTAATCTTAGTACTTCATTCGTTGGTGTTTCGTAAAATCCTTTCAGAACGAATGACTTTGTTTTCTCCGATTTCTCGGAGAAAGTGTGAAATGGGACGCATTGAGACCGCAATACGCTGATTATTGAGGCCTTGTCCTCAACATTTTTGACTATGACTTGTGTTGTAGCCGCTGATGAAATTTTAAATGCAGGCTTAACCTGCAAATTGATTTGTGAAATTATTTTTCTCACTTCATTAATATTTTGCTGGATGAACAAAGGCTTTTCAGCCTTTGCAGCTGTTACTGGAACTTCAGGTTCCGCCGTGGAGTTTTTTTTTCTGGAACTTGTTTTCTTTGTTTCTTGAGATTTTGTTTTGACTCACCCGGGATTTCATCAAAGTCCATTTTTAGACTTAAATCCTGCTTCCTTTTGCGTCTCTTCATTCCCAATGGGCAGCAGACAGCACCGTGTACTTAAATAAATAGTTTAAACAACTATAAATAACTTGGAAACTATTTAATTAATTAAATGAAATTTTTTCACACGTTTATGCACGAGGGGCTTTGAACTTTTGTGAGTTGTAACATATTGTAACAAGGGGGGGAGGGGGTGAAAAAAGAAAAAAGTCGTTTTTTGCCTAACGTAATAAGTGAACGGCCCCAAAACACGATTCTAATATTTTTTAATAATACTTAAAAACTAATCGACATTAAATCTGTTTTTAAAACCTTCAAAATAATTGCATAAAATGAATCTATTGTTTTATCAAAGATATTTATTACTAATGCAGATTTTTGTTTCTTTCAAATATTTTCTTATTGAGTAGTTTTAATGTTGACCTTATCATAATTAATTTCATGTACAGTAAATATTGGTTTTTGTCATTTTCGTTCTATTTATCACGTCCACAAAGAATTCATTGAAATATGGAGTTAAAATTTTGTATAACAAATATTTACTTTAGAAAACTTTTCGGATGCTTTACTTCAACTCTTTGTTCAATATGTATAGCTAAAACTCCATTTGAATCATCTTTTGACATATTCGTAAGTATTATTCCTCCTGATTGTACTTCTACTATTCTGCCAGAGCATTCATCATCTGAAATTTTTTCTCCAGTTATAATATCACAATACATTCCTTGTTCTAATGTTGAACTTATCAATCTATAATCAATGTCTTCATTGTCTAAATTGAAAACAATAAATCCTTTAGATCCGCGTGAGAATGCGATTTGATTTTTGCCATTATCCCACCAAGATGTGATTTGTTCACCATCAACAACATTCATAAATTTTACCATTGATGCAATAGGATGCCATCGATGTTCACAAACCCAGCCATTTGTGCAATTTCCTGTTGAATCAATGCTTGGTGATAAAATTCTAAAGTTTTCATCATGCGGCGGCCCCTGCCTGTTATCATCAAATGCAAATGAACTCATAATTCTCTTAATTCCGTATGGGTGAGCTAGTGAAAATGATTGAGCCATAATATATTTTTTTCGCATTTTATATGACAGTATTCCACTTCCTGACGAGCGTTGATTGTCATGATTATCAATGAATACGACAGCTAAATGTGATGGTAAAAGAGACCACTTCTCACCAAATCCTACCAACCATTTTAAATCATCTCCGCCACTAAATGATCTTCCAATCTCAGACGAATAACGAAATTCTGTGACGCATGCGAATATATATTCATATTTACTGATTGCCTCGTTTCCTGTATCAATTACTTCTTGATATACAAACGGATCTGACTTCGGTTTGAATCCAAATGTTGTATTTAAATATTTTACTCTATTGAAGATTATTTCTAAATCTGTTGGATACATGTGCTTAGAGGCATCAATTCTGAAGCCTATTTTAAATAGAATTTTTATACAATATTTAAAAATCATTAATTTTCATGGGCGATTAATTTAAGTACCTGCAATGCCAAGATCAATTAAGTCATTGAAATAGTCAACGATTTTAGCCCGAGTATCTTCTTCAGTTTGATTTAAATCATGCAATCCAACCAGTTCACAATTTCTGACATTATATGCATCATTATAGTTGTTTACAGCACAAGGTGGATGAAAGTTTGAAACATTGTATGGAATAGCAGAATAATTTCTAACCGACGGTATTGCAGTAGATCCACCTGTTCCAATTGCAGTATAATTCACTTGATCTGCAGCCATATGATTTATCACTACATCTGCATATATTCTATTTTTTTAAGAACCATTTTAAGCACTATTTTGCAATAAAATCAAATATAAAAAAATACCTGACACCAACCGCATTGCATCTTCTAGTCATTTCAATGAAATCTTTTTGGTCGCCTAAGAAAACATTAGAATTCTTTAAAAATAATTTTAAAAACATAATGAAATGAAAAACTACCTGATCTAGTAGCGATCTTGTAGCTTATAGGCTGATACCTTTCAAACCATGGACGTCCATCAATTATTACATTCTCATTAGGCGGACTTATTTGCACTCCACCAAACTGTTTAGGTCCAAGAAATTGCTCACATTCTCTAGCTATGTCTAACCATTTCCACTCAAATAACTGAACAATTCCACTGTGACCCCTTTCAAAATGAGGATCAATAAGGATTCTTTTAAGGATCCCATCATCTTTGGTTTGATTTTCCGTTGGCGGACTAAAATATTGACTACAACAAAAAGCTCCTAAAAGCAACTGTAGCGTTCTTAGCATTCTATAAAAGTTCCTCTGATTTGATTGAATGTCAAACTTAAACTGAATGGAATAAAAACTTACTCTCTAGTTAAAAAGAACAAAATGAATTCGAATCTCAGAGAAAATATTTGAATTTATGTGAAAAAAAAAAAACAGCTCATACTGATAACAAAACTCATGATGTAGTAAAGTACATAAGACTGACTCATATGATGATCAAAACAAAAACAAAACCAGAAAAAATAAATGAAAAAAATGGGCTCGATTGTGTATATCTATGTATATGTGTAAACAAATGACAAAGAGGGTGGGCACATGCATGTGCAGAGTGTATGTTTACATTCAAAAATGTTAGAATATTGAAGTATTCGATGAACAAACTGAAATTCTATTTAAAGAAACAAATCTGATAAGTGAACTGCTTATACTAGTTATAATTAGTTGTGGATGAAAACTAAATCATCTACCTCCAAAAAAAGCCAATCCATAGAAGTCTAGAATTTACAAAACCTTTTCTTATTTTTTAAAAAAATGATTTTTATTCATAATATTTTATTTTAAAATTTTTAAGTTGAATAAGGAAATAAATTATGTAATTATGGACACTTAGGAAGGAAAAAAAAAACAAATCATCAATAAGTCTGACTAAGTAAGTTGAATAGCAAAAAAACTTTTAAATATCAATGCAATTTTCTTTTAATTCATCTCAAAACTTTTGCTGTATCATATCAACATTATAATTTAAATTTGTATATATTTATCAATGTCTATTTAATATGCACTTTTTATAATATTATTACATTTGGATTAGGATACAGCTCAATAATTTCATTTCGTATAAAAACATAAAAAAATTGTCTTTCAGAATAAAAGTAACACAGAAAAATCTATTTGTGCGATTAATGGAGGTTTTAGGATTAAAGATTATTTTTAATGAAGGTAGAAAAGTTGCTGTGTAACCAGTGATAAAAACCATAAATTGTTTACCAGGATAGATTTTCCATTAATCGCTGATAGTCAATAGTAAATCTATTACTTTTTGTTGAAAAATCGGTATCTATTAATATGGTCAATACGAAGCAATCATGGAACGAAGCTCATAGGAAGCTGATATCGATTTTACATCTAATCAATATTCAATTTAATGACTAATGCTGCTTTTTTAACTTTAGAGCTGATATTTACGTTTACTAGATACTTGACATCATTTCACACTCTCTAGTTGTCAAATAAGTTTTTTTTTATAGAGAAAATTTATAGAATAAGTTTAAAGGTTTTGTTTTTGGCTAATCTCACTTTGCCTCTACGCCATTTGAAGTACTAGGCGACATAAGTGGCTCTTCTACTATTCTTAGCTGCTGCTCTTGTATTACGCTACTATTATCGTATATTCCAATATCGGTATGTGGTAAATTTTGATTGCAATATATTTGCTCAGTTACTTTAGTTTTCTCCGTCCTCACGACATTTTCATAAAAATCTTCAGGAATATCTTGCTGCTGAATTGACTGTTTCTGTGGTGATTGCTGAAATTGTGACAATTCGACAACAGGAGAATTTTTCGGTTCTGTTATTTGGTAAACAATGTCAGGATGTCTTGCACGAATAGAATCGCAAACGTCTAAAAGATTTTTTGTGTCCATAGCAAGAATGTGTGCAGCTGATAGCATGTTCCTGTTTAAAAAAAGCAATACTAAATTCCTTTTTATTTCAATTAATATGTTTAAGAAAACTTACTTCCTGCATTCAACATCTAATGTTGTATCGCAATACTGAATCGCTCTGTGCATAGATGCAACAAGATCTTTCATATCTTTTGATAATACTTTATGTGCCATTTCAACTTCCCTGTTTAATTAATTTACAATTAATTTTTTGAATTGCTTAAATATTGCAGTTACAATTTTACCTATGAGTTTGTGGTGGGAACTGTGAAGATATTTGATCAACAGTTCCAAGGAGTGATCTTAGTTCTAATCCAACTTCTTTCACCAAATCCAAATATTCACTCATATTAGACTTTTCGACACCACTACTTAAAGTCATCACTGCTCGTACAACATTAGTTGTACATTTATAAATTGGATCATTTTGCCTGTCCAATACTTTAGGCTCGGCATTCTGTAAAGTGTCCTGTGGAGATGTCAAGCAGGACATTACTGGTGATATTTGTTGAACATTTAACTTAGGACTTAAAGGAGTACGATCAGATGTTGATGGTTTTGGAGGTGGAGCAGATGCATTGATACTATCAATAGACGTCTCAGTAAGAGATGAAATGCTTAATCTTTTCTTTATATTGTCTTCTTGTTGTCGCAACCACTTTGCATCACTTTCACTCTCTTCTTGTTGTTTCTTCATGCGTGTTTCGATAAAGTTTTGGAGATCTTTGTTAACATGATGAAGTTGCTATAAGAATTAACATTATTAAAATGATGTTTTAAAATAAGTAAGAAGTTTGGGTCATGCTCAAAAAATAATAACGTAATTATACTACTGAAAATAAACAAAAAAAGATTACAAAAATATTTTTGATCAAATCTAATCCAAACAAATGTAAATCACGTGTAAACATAACATATCATTAAAATCTATAAGTTTTAATGATAAATAAAAATTAAAAATGAAACTTTCTACGTAAATGAACAGAAAATTAGAAAATCAAAAAGAACTGCAAATTCTCATAAAAAATTATGAATCGAACCTGCACTGGCTCCGTTTGCATAGGTGGAATAAAAAAATTAGGATTTTGTGGAAAGGGTTTTTGGGACATGAGAGGATTTTGAAGCTGCTGTGGTCGAATGTGCTGGCTTGCACCTTGTTGGAAAATCATAATGCGACTTGCAATACTGGGACATGGCTGCTTGAAACTTTGTTGTGGTGTTAATGGACGGTTAATTTCAAGAGATGATGGACCAGAAGAAGAATTAGAATTTTGAGGAGTTTCAAATGTTCGGAGAGCTGTTGGAGGAAGCATTCCGCGCTCAATGCTCTTTTTCAATGCAATTGTAGCGCAAGACTTAACATGAACACCACCAAAGTCATAAATATTTTCCTCAATCAACTCTTCTTGTTGAAATTGTTGTTGCTGTAATTGAGCTTGTTTCTGAGCTTGAACTTGCTGTTGTTGAGCATGTAATTGCTGTTGTAGCTGTTGTTTTTGTAATATTAAAAACTGTTGGTATTGTGAATTTCTTTCAAGACTCCCACCACTTCTTGGTTTTTGTGCATCTGAAACTGCTTTTTGATCATAATACTTTCGCATCAAATCATTCATAATTATTGCTTGTGATCTCTCTAAGCTTCCACCTTTCATAGGCTTCACAGTCTTAGCGTATGATGGTGGGGGGTTTTGAAATTTTTCAAAACTATTTGAATAAGTGGCTTTGAAGTTAAATGGAACATGCTGATTTCGCTCTAGACTAGCTGAACGTATATTTTGCGGATCAGGTTGTTGTTGTTGTATGCCACTAAATTGTCGAATAAGAGATTGAGATCGCTGTTGATTACTTTTTAAATTCTCTTGCACTTGTTGACGCCTTTCTAGAGAGCTTATTCGAGCAAAAACTGATGGAATTTCTGCTTGATTTGCATTTCTTTCCAAACTTCGCGTTTTAGAGCTATCTGTTACAGGAACTTGTGGAGGCAAGCCAGCTGTTGTAGATGAATAAGTAACGATTTCATTAGTAATTTCAATGAGGGGATCGGAATTATTAATTTGTTGGAGGGATGGGGATTGTTCAAGGATATCAATTGTATCATTTTTTAATGGATTTAGTTCATTCGCAGATATTTGAACGGTTTTTAAAGGAAATTCTTCCGATGGTTTATTTTCAGTAGTTTTCTCATCAAATTCTACGCCAAGAACGTTAAATACCGAAGCAGGAGTCGTGTATGATGATGGATTAAATCCACGTTTCTCGTTTTCGCGCATTAATTGAGCCAAAATTAAAGGATTTTGTGCTACTATATATGTCATTTGAGGATTAGTCTCGTTCTCATTATGATCGTCAATAGTTGATAACTGAAAAAGTTTAGATGTAGAATCAGTCATTGGTCTTGCTGGTTTTGGAGGTGCATCATCGGAACCATTTCCCCAAGACATTGCAGCTATCCTTCTATTTTCGCGCTTCATTGTTTCCGAGTCACTGACCTTTTCTTCCAATAGAATCTCTCTAGTAAAATTTAACAAATGTTAATAATAAATCGAATTATTTTCGAATTTACGTACTTCATAATTTCTTTGATATTTTTAAAGTCAGGACGTTTTGCTGGTTCATAGCTCCAACATTGAGACATTAAAGAATAAAGCCTAGGTGGGCAGTTTGGAGGAAGTGCCAATCGTTCACCATTCTCCAATTTTCCTATCACCTCACTATTCTTTATGCCCTGAAATGGTTTCACTCCATACATCAAAATCTCCCATGTACAAACAGCTAAAAATAACAAGTAATGAACATATTTTATTCAGAAATAAAAGTTGTAAGTTATCTTACCAAACATCCATGCGTCACTAGCAGTAGTAAATCTTCGAAAATTTATACTTTCTGGTGCCTATATCATTTAGAATATTTGAATCAAATTAATACAATTAATTAAAGTAAATAAAATTTATTAATCATCAAACTCACCATCCACTTAATTGGTAAGAGACCTTTACTTGAAGTATAATATGATTGATCTTCGACCCAACGACTTAAACCAAAATCAGCAAGTTTTATACAAGTGGGTGAAGAGACTAGAACGTTTCTAGAGATGTGAATAAAAGTTTAAAGTATATAAAAATGTTAAAGTCAAATACGAAATTACCTTGCAGCAATATCTCGATGCACAAATTTTTTAGATTCTAAATAACTAAGTGCAGTAGACAGTTGATAAGAGTAGAGAAGTAATGTGCCAAGTTTTAATCTATATAAGGAAATGTGCAAACAGATTATAAGGGAATACCATAAATTAATAAAGGCAATTTACTTGGAGATATTTTCTTTCAAATATGCACGTAATTCACCAAGCCTTGCCAGTTCCATAACAATCCATATAGGCGAGTCACTACAAATTCCAATGAGCCTAATAATATGTGGGTGTTCAAACTTTTGCATTACATCTATATTGAGAAGAAATAGAAAAAAAAAATTAATGTTTAACAATATCATTTAAATTAAGCATAACCAATTTTACATGCTTCTTCGAGAAATTTTTCCGACGTCTTTAAATCAGCATCTACTTTACAAGTTTTGATTGCAACTGGAATTATGTCTTCACGAACATTTGCTGAATCTTTCTTATTGGCAGATCTTAATATTTGGCATTGTCCAACATAAACATCGCCGAATTGACCAAGTCCGATAATATCATTCAATTGAATTTGATTCCTCTGCAGTTCATAATTCCTCGCCGTTGGCGTTGAATAATCTCCTTCTTCTTCAACATCCGGCAAAACTCCATGAAGTTCTGAATAGTCATCACTAAGAAGTATTTTTCTCAAATTAACATTGTAGTCCTGAGTTTCGTCAAAATCTGCGCATCCATTATCAGCTAAAAACTGATTTAAAGTTGTCTTCTTTTCCAATGAATTACTATTGCTTGGCGTCTTTGTTTTATCCCACAAGCTCATGCTGTTATCATTAAAAATTTTACAGTATCCATCAATAAGTTCTGCAATGCCGTCTGCTGTATTAACACCATTACATGTGATGGCTAAATCTTCACTATTTCCATCGACTTGAATACGTAATTGTGATTTAATACTATTACAGCCACAAATAGTTGAGTTACTTGCTTGTGATATATTCGAATCATTAGACTTGCTGGTATGTAGGCCTTTTCCGCTATTCGTACTACTTGAAATTGACGATTGTTGGAGATTTGGTAAAATGCTTGTTTTCAATGATATAATATTTTCAAAATCTGTCACTTTTGTCGGTTTAGCTTGTGAATGAGTAAGGTAAGAGATACCAAGATTATAACCAATAATCAAATCAATTCCAATATTCCATTGTCCAAGCGTCACAACAAATTTCTCATGATCATAATCAAAGACAGTAGCAAGCAGCTCGAAATATTTTAAAATATAATCAGTATCCGAGAGTTGATAAATCTTTTTATACTGATTCTGAACTAGTTTTTTCAAGTTTTTTAGCTTAATATTATCAATGACAGCTTTTGGAAGAAAATTTGAGAAGCCCATTTCCTTTTCAATGTAGTCAAGATGATGCTTTCTGTCATTCGATGATCTTGCATCCTTGTAATAGTGTCTGATTGCCAGACAACACAATTGTACAGATAAATCTTGTTCAATGTTTGAAATATTTGATTGAACAAAATCATCTTTGACTTGATTAAAGAAGTAGTTTATGCTTATTTTATCACGTTCAAGAAATTCGTTGAGACTCTTTGGAATATATCGCACTCGCAGTTCTATTTTCCATACACAATTTGAATTGCCTAAAGGTACGTTTTCTTTTGCTTCATGCTGATTTTTATCACTCACTGATGGTGATGATCTCGCAAAGTTAGGACAATTTATGTTCGAGCATGATTCATTTGAAATGTAATCGATAACTTGACGAGTTGGAGTTGCTAAAATTCAATTTAACTGATTGTTAAAATCATTAATAAAAAATTAAATTCAACTTACTTAATGGCAACCATAAAATTTCTTTAGAAACGATGTGTCGTAATCTCAGTGCATAATATTGGGTATATGGTTTAACACCGACGACACATGTCATAGAACCAACAAGATTATTAATAATTTGTCGAACATCGCTGTTTGACTCATCTACACGGACCATTCGAAACCCATGATTTGGTAAATGTATATACAGTGACTTTTGCGATTGATTTTCAGTATTGGCAATAAGATTTCTCGATGGACTAAAATGTGGTGAAAAACCTCGATTGACACTCAATTCATCCATAATCTTAATAGGTTCCAATTGAAATCCACTTTGAAGATTTTACTGCTTTCTTCATGAACGAGAGATAAAACAAAATGAAATTATTATTTTTTTTTTGATTTTCTATTCCAAAATTTACTTCTTGCGAAGAAAAAAATGGAAGTTCTGGAATGGAAAATGTATGAATTGTAGTAATAATATAATGATGAAAAAAGAGCGAGAACAGAAAATAAGTTATGTTACTGATAAGGAAATAATGTAAATGAACCGTTGTGGAATAAAGTCGATATAGAGGAAATATGCTTTTTTGAGCTACATCAAATTTATAATTTTTTTTCTTTACTTATTCCTCTTTTAGCACTTTCGTAATATATCCTATTGCACAGTAAACTTATCATGTAAACTTCCATAAATACTTTTAAACATAATTGACTCACAATTTATCTCCTAATTCTCATCCTTTCATTTAATAATAGAATAATATTTTTCTTTTAATTATTTTTCTATTTTTCTCTTGAAAAAAATCAACTCCCCGAAAGCGAAAAAAAATTTCAAAGTGATGTGACCAATGTTTTAAATTATAATGTTGCTTTCTCATTAATTTTCAAAAGTAAATAAACGTTACATCATTTTTAAATTGAGCATACATAAAATAGGGGGTACAAAATATGCCAGCTTCAAATTATTGTATTTAACTTGTAAAGAGACTCCATTCGTTATTTATAATTTTGTGGATAATTTCGATATATTAAAAGCATTTATAAGTCCAAAATACTGTGAATTAAGCGATAAAGGTATGTACTATAATGTTATGTAAAAATTTCCTTAAAAAATGTTCAATTTTTCATGAAAATTATAAAAGAAAGTTTGTTTTCATGTTTTTCACCAACTCTTACAATTTTTTTTATATTTCGCAATTATTAATGAGTTAATAACACGAAACTCTCGTATTAAAAGAAGTGATGCATACAATTTAATGATGTTTCAATGATCCAGTCAATATATTTGTTTTTGAATTTTTGTAATATTTTTATTATTTTAAATATCTTTCACTTTTCCTTGTCTCTATTTCTTCTTCTTTCGCATTTCATTTATTGTATGCATTAGAAAATATATACATTTTTCATCATCAGTTTTTAGTGTGTGAAATTTGATAGAATTGAAGGGCAATGCTGCAAGAAAGAGAGTCAAAAAAAAACCTTTTTTTTAATCGACGACTTTTTTTCCTTTTTAAAATCCAGAAGAATCCATTGAATTTCAAATGGTTTGATTGTTATTAGTCTACAGCATTTATGCTCAATTTGTTGACTTTTAAAAAGTAAATTTGCAAGCATACGATGCAAAATAGAAAAACTAAATTTGACCCATTTTCTTTTCCATTCATGTTTAGTACATACATCTCTATATTTGTTCGGTCTCATCACATTCTTTATTTTCCTTCCATTTACTTCTTTTGTTGTTATATCTGGTACAGTTTTTCTGCAAATCAAAATCGGGCATAGAAGCAACATATAGAAAGATGGGCGAGCAGCAATTTTTCTTGAAATGGAATGATTTTCAAAACAATATGGTTTCATCGTTCAAACACTTGCGTGACGAAAAGAGCTTTACCGATGTAAGCATTATCTACTGAAAAAATGTCATTTTCTATTTACTGTAACATTATATTTGCATCATAAACAATAATTTTTTTAGGTAACATTAGCTTGTGATGGACAAACCTGCAAGGCACATAAGATGGTTCTTTCAGCCTGTAGTCCATATTTCAAGACTTTACTTGAAGAAAATCCCTCGAAGCATCCAATCATCATTTTGAAGGATGTCTCATTTAACCACTTGCAAGCTATTCTAGAATTCATGTAATATTGATATTGATATTGAATTCAAATATTATTGAAAGCACGAATGCAACACTTTTAAATTTCTTTCCAATTGCAGGTATGCAGGAGAAGTTAATGTCTCACAGGAACAATTACCTTCGTTCTTGAAAACAGCTGATAGATTAAAAGTTAAAGGCCTTGCAGAGACTCAATCACCGTTTTCAAACAAACGAGAGGGTTGATAAGCTAATAACCATATCCCTCCGAGCTATAAGATATTAAAATCTCATTAAAAACGCTCTTCATTTTATTCTTTTTTTAATTTTTTTACTTTTCGGATTATTTTCTTTAAAATTTTAACTTCAAAAAAAAAAACAAACTGATAAGAAGATTGATAACATTCGCAAAATATTTGAGTGTTTTTTTTAAAAAAAATTGCAGTTCTTTGGATAAATTCCTTTTTTTCTACATAATAGTTATATTATTTTATATTACATTAACGGATAAAGCATATAGTTAATTTCTTTTTATCATACATTCTAAATATAATGAGACGTTTTTAAGATTATTATAGTAGTTCTTCCTTTAGTTTGTCTTTCTTTAATCACATAGTGCCCCCAATATCCCTTCTATTTTTGTCCATTTAGAATGAATTATCTATTATAAAGTACTATTATAATTTCACTTTTTCTTAAATTTAAAATTTTACTTCTCTCTAAACGTTATACATGAGGTGTCGATTCAAAAAACAAAAAGATATAGAATAATAATTATTAGTAAATGGGATAAATTGCAAAAGATTGATGATTCAGACTTATTAAATGATTAGGTTCAAATTACTTTTAAATTTTTTTTTTGTTTTGTTACCGAAAGTTTATCTCTCAGCTGCACAAATTCATTAATTTCCCTTTTATTAAAATTCAAAAAACTGTTTTCATGCCAAAGTCACCAAATAAGCACATTTTCATTTTCCATAAATTAAATATTTTCAGACAAGAAGTTACTAAATCCGAAAAAGTTTATTGACAGTAAAATCCTATAATTTTTAAGATCTTGCAATCTTTATTTCTACTTTTTTTTTATTTCCATTTTTTCACACATTAATTAGGAAAAAAAAAGTTTTATATGTTTTTAAAAATATGAAAAAATTATACGAAGATGTGCGGAAGAAGTTGAAAAGGAAAGTTAATTCAATTGTATTGATGGAATGAAATTAAATGACATAATAAAAATACACACATTATACGCATGATAAAGCTCGAGAATTAAGCTGAACAATTAAGAAACAATGGATCATTTTAAGTGAGATAGGCAAAATAAATAAAAATGATTAAAATATTTTTTAAAAATTGGAATCTCTTATTCATATTCCATGATTTTCATCAACAGGTACCGCAATTTGCGAGCTTCGATACCAATTGTTGGTACGTCTTCTGAATCCTCGTCGCGTAAAACTGATGGAGATGTTAGCCCATAAATTTCACATGCATGGAGAAAATTTATTGTATCTTGAATTGCTAGTGAAGGCAAGACAATCGTTTGTTTAGTTAAACCACATAGCAATCCAAGAACACATCTTTTAACATGCAACCATGTATCAGCACATAATCGTGTACTTGATTCTCCTTCTACGACCATCAAAGCATGTGCAATGCGTGATAATCCAAATTCATAGTTTCCTTTTGCACAATAAAGAGTTCCAATTACTAAATTAATGATACAGAGATGAAGGCATTGTCCATCACCATTTCCCTTTCTTTCTTCTGCTCGTTCAACTCTTCGCATCAATTCCTCTGCTTGCTCATTTTGCGATGTCATGATATAAGATACACAAAGATTTGCTAGCACTATAGCATGCACTGATAAAATATCTTCATAGCTTTGCCGAACTATTGGTTCATAAAATGCTGCTGCTTCTTTGTATTTGTCGCCTCTCATAAATAACACATGAGCAGCATTTAATCTCCAGTTTGTAGTTTCACTACAAAATTCGGAACTTGCTCGAAACTCTCGTTCTGCACTAGTAAAATCATTTTCACGCCAGTAAATCCATGCTCGTGTCATTGCAACAGGCTCATACTCATGCAAGACTTCTTCATACTCTCTTAATGCATTTCTCAGTGCATTTTGATCTGAAGCCATTCGGCATTCCTGAACTTTTGCAGATAACGTTCTTAAACGTGTAGCAAGATTGTTAGACAAAACACCAAGCTTTTTCTCGGCTTCTTCTAAAGATGTTTGAGATGTAATTATTGCATCAAGTAGATCATACAGAAATGATGACAAATACTTGTAAGTCATTTGAGCATGTTCAGCTAGAATATCAGCAGCAGTATCAAACATTTCGTGTTTACAGCACAAAATTAAAAGATTTGAAAATGTCTCTAGTGGACAAATTGGACCAAGTTCAAGGAGGAATGCTAATCGTCTCAGTTTAATATTACCATTCAGATGATCACCAGTTAATGCCATATTATGCAAAGTAACGGGATCTAATTCAGGTTCACTTCGTGGTGGTAGATCCATCAATGCTTCCTTCGCACCCTCAATATTCCCTTCTTGATACTCAATTGCAGCTTTGAGGTTTAATGCTTGAACAATGCCGCTTAATGATAATGTTGGTGGATTTCCTACGCTTCTAGCTCCTCCTTCCTCAACTTGTGCTCCGATCCCAAGCTCGGGAAAATTTCGGATACCACGTTCGATAATCTCGCCAATCATATTTAATGATTGAGAATATTCCTTTTTACGATAATGACAAAGTGCAGAATTGTAGGCTGTCAATGGATTAAATCCCGTCTGCAAACTCGAGAAGAATCGTTGAATTGCTTCATCGTAAACATTTGCTTGATAAAGTAAGCATCCTTCATCATTTAAAGATTGGGCAGTTCCAGCTTGTCTTTGCATTAAAATAGATTGAGAAGCTGAATAGTCTCCGTTGCTGAAATAAATTGCACTTTGGAGCTGCATGACTTTATCTCTTAAATGCTCCACATCCACCATATTTGAAACTTTCAAAGCTTCTTCAAATAGCCCAGACTGATAAAGAGATTGAGCATAATAGAGTTTATATTCAGGAACTTCTGGGCACATATCACAAAGCATTTCGTAAGCATTAGATGCTTCTATGAAATCTTGCGACTGATAATAGCAATGACCCAATAGTGATAAACCAGCACGAGTTGTTGATGCTTCGTGGATATTATTCAGTATATTTATAACTCCACTGTACTGGCCTTCTTTTACCATTAAATAAATGGTCTTTGTATACTCAGAATCACGGATTGGTCCTTTATTAAGCATCATTTTAATGTGACTTTATCTATAACTTGTAATTTTTATTCGTTTGTGTCACACGTTGCTAGTAGCAACCAATATACTTTCACATGGCTTTTATATTTGTTATTTCCAGGATTTCAAGAAAAAACCTTAATGATTTTATTAGGAACGGTATTTTTAACTTTGATTTATAGGGATATAACAAGCGTATAACATAGTTATTTGCGACGTAGAATGCTTAAAATCGTAACGGTAGCTTGACTTTTAAAAATGTATTAGAAGAAACTGTTTATCTTAATCGTAAATGTGTGTTTAAAAAATTAATTTTACTTTATTTGGACACTAATCAAATCGCGATAATATAAAAGTTTCAAGTGCTTAAAATCTTGTAGATAATTTTAATATAATTAATGATCATGGATTCTGTGAATTTAAGAGATCCGACAAAAATAGCAAATAGAATTTATGTTGGACATATTAATGAAGGAATAACATTAGAACTATTGGATATCAAATTTGCGGTTTATGGAAAAATTGTTGGTATCTTAAGAACATCGCCAACATTTGCATTTATTCAGTTTGATCAGCCAAGCAGGTAAATATTTAGATGAAATTTCGTTATTTCTTTATTTAATGATTCATAAAATTAACTAATACATGTATAACTGGATGTTTTAATTAAGTGCTCAAGCGGCTATAGATAATGAAAATGGAACTTTCATGGGAAGTCAGAAAATTATGGTCAAGACCGCTGAAATGAAGAGTCAGAAACATAAATTTCCGATTAATGAAATTAAGGATATCACAGACGATGAGCCGATGAATAAAAGTATGTAGTGAATCCTGTTATAACGTACGTATGTTCTTGATGTTACTTGAGCTTTCTCTCTTTCTTTATAGAATATTTCTCTGATGCGAATGAATATTATGGAAATAACTCAATTATGGCACCAACTATGGATTCGGACATCAATCACTGTGAAATTATAGTCCTTTCCAGGTCTCTGAGGTATGACTATTCTAAAATAAAATTAAAATATAATTTTTTCATTAATGGCCTTATCATATTAGGCCATATGCTGAAGAAGTTGAAAAACAGTTAAAGATGCTGGGGATGCATGTGGATTTGATGTTTCCGAATGATCAGATTCCGATGAACAAAGTTTTGGGTAATATTCAGTCACGTGGATGTTTGTATGGTATTCTCATAACTCCAATTAATGCTGAACGGAAAAGTTTGACTCTTACTGTAAGTAATGGATGGTAACTGTTAATGATAATTACTCAATTTGTGTAAATTCTTATAGATTTTATACGGCGATGCCACAGAACACAGAAACATGCCAACTGAAGACGCAATTCGCTTCATTTACAAAGACTTTGTTAATAAGACAAAAGGAATATCTCCAAACAGAAGTTATCAACATCCAGAGGCGATTTCTACACTTTTGAAAAATCTATTTGAGAATCGATCATTAACTGTGTTACAGTATGATCACATAATTAAATATTTGTCACAAAGAAAGGAAGCACAAGTAGTTGCTGAAATCGGAGAAGATGCACATGAAATAAATATGGATACAACGCCTGCAGTTAATAATACAAATTCGGGAACGACTCCAGCGGCATCAACTTCAACATTTACTTCATATGCTCAAGATAGAGCAAACGAACTGCAAAAAAAGATTCTTGGAATGCTTAAGAATAAATCAATAACTGAGAAGATTGCACTGAACGTCGAAAAGAAGGCAAAACTGACACAATCAGATAAAGACGATTTAAAGCAAAAAGTTTTAAAAGATGAGAAAGTAAAATCAGCATTGAGTGCATTATTGGGAAGAAAATAAGCGTAATAAAAATCACTTTGTATTTGATCCGAAAATTCATGTTTTTTAATCAGCCATAATCGAGTGCTCGAATTGCTTGTTGATAAGAAGATATTACAAAAATTTCTATTGCTTCGATAACAAAACAAGTTTCAAAAATGCGCTAAAAAGAAGAAATTATCCAGAGCTAAAAGTCGAATGAAAGGCACATGAGATACATTGGAATTTCCCATTTTCGGTTAATGGATAGGGACTATCGAACTCTGACAAGTGTTTTTTCTCTCTCTGAACATAATTGAGATTAAGAAAAAAAATAGCAAAGAATTATTTTTGAAGAATAGTTTCTAATTTAATTAAAATTTTCGGACCGTGATGAGTGACATAAGCAATTTTTCGGACGAAGAAGATTCTAGACAAGACGATTGTGCATTAGTTGATGCACTAAGTGAGATAAATTTCAATGAACATAATATTGATAGTATCAGACAAAATAAATTAGAAGAAAGTCAAGAACAAAAGCATGAAATTCATAGTGATCCAGCTAGTTCTAGTTCGCTAAATTTTGTTGATGTTGATGAATATGATTATCTTCATGACTCGGAATGGATAAATCAAAAATGTCATGTCTTTATTTTGAGTACGGCTGGGGTAAGACTATATAAATAATAATTACTATATAAGATATTTTAAAAAGTTTGATTCATTAATAGTTGATTGATTGCAAGACATGCCATTATGAACATCCATTTTAACGTTTTCTACATTAGTTGATACAAATATTAAAAATTTTATTCTCATATTGCAGAAACCAATTTATAATTTACATGGAGATGAAGAAAAATTAAATACACTTTTTGGGCTTCTTCAAGCTTTAGTTAGTGTTGTTCAGACAGATGATGACTGCATACGATCGATAACAGCAAAAAATACTAAGTTTGTGTTTCTAGTAAAGAGTCCATTGATATTAGTTGGAGTCAATAAATCCAATAGAAGTGAACAGCAAATTTACAACCAGCTAATGTAATCCATAACTTTTATCTCTTCTTATCAATATACTTTTTTTTACTTATTGTCTTCTCTCTGCTTTTAGGGACGTATATAATCAAATAATTTTCATCGTTACACTGAGTCATATGAAAAGTGTGTATGAGAAACGAAATAATTACGATTTAAGAAAGTTGGTAGCTGGATCTGAAAGATGGGTTGATCATTTGCTTAGAAATGAGAAGCGTACAAGGATATGTAATAGTTCTTTTGTGTCACTTACACATTCTGTACGAATATTACCAATGGAATCAAGCATTCGTGATTCGATCACATCCACTATTCAATCAAATTGCAATAAAATCAAAAATCTTGTTTTTGCTGTGCTCCTCGCAAACAACAAGCTCATCACTTTGGTTAGAATGAAAAATTATTACATGCATACGGACGATTTGAGGCTTATATTTAACGTGATTGATTGCTCAGAAAGTTTCAAGTCTGCTGAAAACTGGTTGCCAATATGCTTACCTAAATTTGATTCTAATGGTGCACTTTATGCTCACATTTCTTACATTTCGGATGACTGTGAAGCATGTCTTCTTCTAATGACTGTTGATCAAGAATCATTTCCAATTCTTTCAAATGCCAAAAAGAACATTACAGAAAAACTTAGACGAGGAAATTACATAGAAGCAATAAATACAGGAATGAAAGATAAAGGAATTAAATTAAAATCTGATATTGGAGTGTCTGAGATTCGACACTTTTTCTACAAAAACAAAAAGAATACCCAACTATTGTGTTCTGAGATTACAGCACCGTACATTGATAATTTAGGTAAGAATAAAGTTACAACTCAATTATCACAGATTGAAGATACATAAAATGTTCATTTTAGATCAATTTGAGAAACTGGAAGCAATGTACTATGATCTACACAATAGAATTCATCGAACATCGCGACCATTAAAATTAATTTATGAAATGCATCAACATGAAATTCAGCTAGCGTGGGTGACTGCAAACTATGAATTATATGCCACATTTGAGCCTCTTGTTGATAAAAAGTCAGTAATTATCGCTCAGGTTAATAAGCTCCTAAAATGGATTCGAAAGGAAGAAGACAAACTGTTTATGACAGGCACACATATTTTCTAGGAGCGGGTAACGAGTTATTTTAGGCTCCTCTCGAGCCGAGATAACTCGTTAAATTTTAACACTGAAGACAACTCGTTGAGATGAAAACTTTTTAATTGACAGGACAGAACAGGAATAAAAATTTATTAACTTGTTCGTAATATTGGTTTTATTTTGTATCATTACATGTTTTCACTAAAGCATAATAAGTATGTATAATTGTTTAATTTAATATTAATGGATCGCATATAGAACAATCAATTGTTATTATCCTTTCTCTGATTAATTTATTACATAATAAATGAATGATGTGATATATACTAGCATTGAACGATGAAGAAGAATTATAATAAATCAAACGAAAAAAAAAACTAGAAAAATTTACAAATGTTGAAAGAATTTAATTCATCATTATCTATCCTTTGGAATAAACTTGTAGATATAACGTATATACTGATTTTTAAAAGGTCTTGTGATTTCAGTTTTTTTATCGCACATATGATTTAATATTTCATTATTTTTTTACACACAAGATTTAAAAATTTATGCATATTCTTCACAACAACACATTGATTCTGATGAATTAAGTCATCGATAATTACTATAATTTATACAGCTTCCTTTTAAACTCTTCTCACTTTCTGCCTCCTTATTCCTTGTCTCCCATTTTGACTTTGCTCGTCATATAAATTCCGACGATGAGTCCAAAGAGACCGATAGCGGATCCAAAAATTTCGACAATAAGAATCTTAACGAAAAGATTTGAATTTGCAGCATCGGCTAAAGCAGCTCCTGATCCAACAATACCAACAGCCAATCCACAGAATAAATTGACTAAACCGACTGCGAGACCTGCTCCAAACATGACATATCCAGCCATCCAGTTTGTTCCTCTGACTGATTCATTTACTGCTGCAACATTTGCTGTAAACGGCTCAAGTCCTCCAGATAAAACAATGGCAGTGATGAGACCATAGATAGCAACAGCTTCGCAAAAGATGACAGAAATCAAATTTTTCGTCTTGATTCTTGGTGCTTTTACTCCACCACCAATGATTGAAACTCCAGTTGTATGAATTCCCATAGCAGCTCCAACTACTGACAATGCAACAGAGAATCCAATTCCTAAGCAGGCCCACATGTATGGGCTAGTTTCTTCAAGGAACCATCCAACTGATATTCTCTCTCCCTGACCAGTTAAAACATGATAAAGGATCCAAAGTGAAACTAATGATGAAATTGTTCCCGTAAACGTGTAAGCTAATGTGTAGCGCATTGTAATTTCTGGAATGTGGATTCTCCTAGCACTTAATAAAAGAGGAAAATTTAATTTTTCACTACTTTAGCTTTTCTACAAGATTTTTCACAATTTGTCAATAATCACATGACAGTACAGTAAAAGCTTCTTACTGTACATTTTTCAAAATGTATACAAAAATGTTTGTTATTTTCAGATTCTACGGTACTTTTGTGGTGAAAACTCTATCCAATTCTTTTTTATACGTTACACTTTTTAAACCATATCTTTTCACTTCATTTGCTTGTATAGTAGCTCCTAAAATACTCAACTACCATTAAATAAAGAAATGTCTTAAATTGTGCTATTACTTTTAAAAGAAATAATGACCATCGGATGATTAACCTTTACCAACGGGTTTTAATTGTGAAATGTTTGAAATTAAATTTCAAAACTTAGCGGGAAAATATCAAAAGTAAACAAAACAATTAATATAATTTTTAAACATTACTGGGGGTCCTCGATTTGAGTAGATTCTATTTGAGTAGATTCGATTTGAACAGAAAATTTATTACCCACCAAAATATTCGATTTGAGTAGATTTCTTCCTGTTTTCTTCGATTTGAATTGTTTACAAAACAAATATTTTTGATAAAAACATTTCAGAAAATAATTTTAAAACATAAATTTTACTGCGATAAGCGTGAACTTATCATATTGATAGAAAAATCAATACTAAAGTTACAAAATTAAAGTAAAAATTTAAAAAATCGATATAAAATTAACGGGTTTAAAAAGTTCAAATTCAAAAACCTTACAAATTGTTCAGTGAAATAACATTTGCAAGGTTCTCATATTTTTGTTTTGTTTCAAAAACATTTTTTTTGTGAATTTCCGTTTAAAAACAATATGAATATGCGTTGAAATAAATTAAGTTATCTAAAACACAAAGGAAAAGTTAAGAAACGAGGTAAAATGTGCAAAAAATGATCAAAATTTTCATTGTTTTGATTCATTTTTTGGACTCTGGAACAAAACATGTAATTTTGTATGGATTCTTTGCCTCGATTTGAATAGATTCGATTTGAGTAGAAATTTTTTGGAACAAAACAACTACTCAAATCGAGGACCCCCAGTATTTAATTTTAAGTATATCCGTATGATATAAAGGAGTTAAAGTATGAAAATGGATGAATATCTTACAAAATTCCACAGACAAGAGATTTTAGATGCTCTTAAGAATAAAAAACTCTTGATTTCCATTAATTTTGACTTGACAAATTTAATGAAAGTGAATGAAAAACTTTATAAACAAATGAAATACAATTTTGATGACGAATATACTAATTGGAAGAAATCAACCATTAATCAGATTTCACAATTGATTCAAGCAGAAAAGATCCAACTCAATAGCAAAAATTTAGAAATAGAATTTGATTTTTTAAATCATCCAGAGAGAGTTGATTGGCCAAAACTCACATCAGAACTCTTCCAACTTGTTGAATTTAAAGGTGAGAAGTATACTTATTATTAATAATAACTTTTAACTTAATTATTATTACTTTTAAGGATATGTTTTTCGATCATCAACACCCAGGAAACTAGAGCTTTTACGGGAAGTACAGTGCTTGAAATGTCGACAGAAGACCACGATTAAAGCTGACCGTTTGTACGATTACACATTTCTATGCACTAGACATTGTATAATTACAGGAGGTTGTGATGGAAAGATGGTATATACTAAGAAAGAGGAAGAAGTGCCATCGTTAGAAAATACAATTGATTTTCAAGTATTTAAAGTACAGGAACTTGATAAATTCACTCCAAAAAATCGGTATTATGCTGTTGAAGTTGAAGGAAATCTTGTAGATACATGCAATATTGGTGACACCGTTTATGTTTTAGGAACTTTTGAAACAAGAACTGACGCTAGCACAAAAGAAATTAAGCGATATGTTATTCGAGGAATTAAAATTTCCAAAGCTCTTGAATGGAAACAGTCGATTATTTCACATGAGAAACAATTGGCGGTAACAGCATGGAATGACGGTAAAAAACGAAATAATGACAATGAGCTGGAAGCAAGAGATGAATTATTAAAAGGTGTAGCGCCTGAGCTCAACAATTGTTTTATTCTAAAGTTAGCACTTATGGTCGTTATGTGTACTGGAGGAAGATCTAAGCATCGAAAAGCACAAAGATTGGAACGTATGACAAACAGAGATATTAGCCACATCCTCTTCATTGGACTTCCAGGATTAGGTAATTTCAATACTTTTTAAATCATTATTGAATTTTTTTCTTTAATAAAATAAAAATATTTCAAAAACAGGAAAATCGGAATTAATTAAAGCTGCTTCAAAAATCAGTTATCGGTCAATTATCTGTGTAGGCTCGGCATGTACTTTAGCTGGTTTGACGGCATCAAGTTATAAAGAAGATAAGGAAACACATGTTGAAGCTGGAGCTTTAGTTTTGGCTAATCAAGGGATTTGCTGCATTGATGAATTTAATTTATTGTCTACAAGAAATCGAGGTGCACTTCATGATTCTATGGAACATCAAAAGTTTTCATTTATGCAAGGTAAATTATCACAAACCACTAATTTTAATTAGTAATTATTTTATTTCTACTCATCAATTTAGCGAGCTTAAAGGTCGAGGTAAACACAAGATGCAGTGTTATCGGAAGCATGAATCATAAATCCGAACAGTCAGCTGAAGCAAGAAATAAGAATCTTAAGCATTCAGCATTTAACATTGAACCGTCTTTAATATCGAGGTTTGATTTTGTATTTTTCCTTGTAAAACCAGAAGATCGAGATTTTGATGGTGACATAATCAGTGCTATTATTAATTCGTCTAGCTCAGAATATAAAGAAAAGTTTGTTGAATGGAGTTTAGAAAGAATACAGTCGCATGTTATTGTAGCGAAGAATATTGCTTGTGAAGTAACAATTGATGCTTACAAATTGCTTGTCAATTATTATAAATTTTGTAAAGCTTGTTTGGAAATAGATGAATCAAGAAAGACGATGAGGTTGCTAAAAAGTTTGGAAAGACTCACAGTAGGACATGCAAAGTTAATGCTTCGAAATAAGACAAAATTGATTGATGCACTTACTATTATTTGGCTAACGGAAAATTCTTGGTCTTTTGGAGATTTAATTGAGCAGGAAAATGTAGTTTTATCTGAGCTTCCATTGGGACCATCGCAAAAATGTATTGAACACATTTTTGATACATTACACCTAAGTCATCTTAAAGAAGTTTTTCAAAAAGAGCAAAATGAAGTCACAGGTGATGCACATTGTCCATTGCAGCTTAATACAACGATTCGAGAGGATGCTCAAGACAAAAAGGAACTTAAGAAACTATTTAATAAGACTGGTGCACTTAAAAGACGATCCAACGAAACAAAATGTACAGAAAATATTACAGAGGATATTGACGATGAGTTTCCAGAGATTTTAAAAAAATCTTTTGGCATTTCAAGAATTGAGGATTTGTTTACAAATAGTGATGACGAGTTCGATGAAAATATCAAAGACAGTTCAAAAGTACCACATTTTTCGTCAGATACACTTTCAATTCAACACATGGAAGATTATCTACTAAATGAAGAATCCAATGACAGTCTTACCAATTTTGAAGTTATCCAAGATAATATGAGCACTCAAAATGGGCAAATACTTCCTAATTTTGCCACTGATACAGAACAATCAAACGTATTTCAAAAACCAACAATTCCAATTGAAAAATCGGAACTAATAGAAAATGTAGACACCAAACGAAGAAAAAAGTCCAGTGAAGATGAAGATTTCTCAATAGATGAAATGTTAAAGGATCTGCCTCATTCATCAAAAAGCATAGCATTTAAAAATGATGAAGAAACACAGAAAAAGTCAACATCATTAGGATTCCTAGGTCGTTTGAAGACTTTTGAGTTTTCATCTCAGAAGTCTCAGAAGAATGAAAAGAAATCAGACGAATGTCCAATATCAGCTATAAGTGAAAATTTGCAAGCACTTAATAACCAGCTCGCAGAAAATTTAATTCAAAAAGGAACTGAGCAAAAGACAACATCAACACCGATGTCAAGAGAAGAATATTTAAAAGCTCTCGATGATGAATTAGATTTATGGAATTAAATGTTAATCTCATACATACTAAACCGTTATTTTATTTTTTAGAATGTCAAAAAAAAAGTGCACGTAGACTTTCCCCAATAAAATATAATACCTTCTGGGTATTATTAAAGTTTAGAAGTAAAATCATTATTGTTATTTACGATGTTTATAAATTCCAGATGATTTTGTAAATTCGGATAGATTAGAATTATTTTAATTTTTTTCTTAAATAATGAGAAATAATGACTCAATTGAATTTATTAGATCTTGTGTATTCGGATACATTTTGTGAAATTCAAAAAGTAAGTTAGCATATTATTCAGAGTTAAGCATTTTTAAATCTGTAATTGTAATTTTTTTACAGTTTCTAAGTCTTAAAGACTTTTTCAACTTAAGATGTGTAAATACAACTTTACATGACTATATCGATCACGAGTTGGTATTAATTAAACAGATTAATTTTGCTGGACAGGATGAAAGAGCTGTCGATGCATTTAAAATCCTTAATAAGAGCTGTAAACATCTTCAAATCCTTAATATCAGCAAATGTCAATGGATGACAAATGACCTTCTAGTTCCGATTCTACAAAATAATTCCGAATCACTTGTGAATATTAATTTAAGCTATTGTGAAAATATTACTGAGCTATCACTTCATCCAATCATTATTCACTGTAAAAAGTTAAAGAAATTAATTTTGTCAAACTGTTACTGGCTTACGATCGGATCTTTTGAGACATTAGTTTTCCATCATTCGGATATTGAAGAATTGGACCTAAGTGGATGCAGTATGATTAGTGAAAGATGTTTGTTGCTTCTTCTTCAGAAGTTCTTTAAACTTCGTGTTCTATCGTTAGCATCAATCAATAGTGTTAACGATAACATTCTCTTTACTATATCAAAATATCAGACAGAAATCATTCATTTAAATCTTTTTAGATGTCCTGAAATCACAGATAGAGGTGTTGGTGCTCTTTCACTAAATTGTAAGAAATTAGAAACGCTATCCGTTCGAGGATGCCTAAAAATAACAGACAGAAGTTTAGATTTGTTAAGAAATCGCAACATTCACGTGGATGTCCCAAGAAATGCTACAAATGCATTTATCAATAATTTCGACTATGCTAGACGAAGATTAAATATGTTTTATTTGCAAGTGTAGTTTTGTTGATGTTAGTTCAACTGTAGATACATATTTTATATTGGTAAACTGCAATAATTGTATTAAATAAAATTTTCAAAAACATAAATCATAACATCATTGGTACCCGCGTTGATGGGACCTATAGAGCTAGTTTATAAATTATAATTAAGTTATAAGAAGAGAATTGGACAGTGTAAAAACCAGTAAAAACAATATTTTTTTTGACAGATCGAGGGTCTGAAATTCAATTTTATGGATGAATCGAAAGTGCACCTGTTTTGACCCTTGATAAAAAATGAATTAATGCCACGTGTCAGATTGAATTTTTTGTTTTAATCGCTCGTGTTTAAAATTGTTTATGTGAGATTCTAAGTCACATGTTTCAGCATGTTTCCACCTGTAACTTTTCTTATTATTCGTTAATAAAATATAAAATTTTCCATTCAGCTGAGAAGCTTGTAAACTGTTTCTGAAGTCATATAAATACGCAATTCATTTGAAATTAGTAAAATGTGACAAAAGCATTTTTTATCACCTACAATTTATTATTAAATTTATTTTCAGCCACCAACAAAAGAAATTAATTTTGCGACTATTTCATAACTCAAAATTCTTTGAGATATTTTTAGACATTTTGACAAAAAGTAACCGAAAATTTTTTGGCATTGAAAAATGGAATTTTAACATGTCACGTAAGTAGATAATCGATCGGCCATTAATCTTAAATATAATTTCTGTTCTTAAATAAAAAACTTAAAAAAGTAGCTGATTTTAAGAAAATGCCGAAACAAGAGAGCAACCTGCAGTCTCGTGGTTTCTCAGATACGTCATGGTGATTATGACATGGACATATATTTTCGAAACAGTTTGTGATGAGCTAAACGAGGAACATTTAAGCATATAAGTGAGGTAATTAGGTTAATAGAAAATCAACATTCTTATTTTCTTTTGGATATTTTTAAATCTCGTAGGATTGCTTTCTTTTTATTATTCACATCTTTTAAAAAACAAATTTGTTGACTAAGGGGCCGTTCTCTTATGACGTCCGAAATTAACGGTAAAAAAAATCAATGGATTTCCAAGAATTCCCATTGTTATTTTCTTTCTAACCCCCATCAACCCCCCCCCCCCCCCCCCCCCCTCGTGGACGTTAAGTGAACGTCCCCTAATGAACCTTTTTTTTAAATTTATGTACGGTTTCCCTGATAAATTCTCGGCAATTAATTATGTTAAATTTTCCAATTGAAATATGCATTTCATACTCATAGGATACTTCCATTGAAATAATATATTATTTTTCAATTATGAAATAAAATTCGGAAAATGTGTTCGGGGCGCATAAACCACATTAGTCATTATTTTGAGACATTAATTCAGAAGCATGATTTAAGTTTAGACCGACCAGGTATTAATTCAGAAGCATGTAAGATTTATTTAATTTCCTATTTATGAAAAATCTTAGAACAAATGTCACGCGCAGTCAGGGACTCTAAGAAGCAAAAATGCCTAGATTGATCAGTTGGCAAGGTACAGGTCACAAAAGTTGGAGTAGAATTTGGACTCTCGGGTTCAAATCCCATCACTATTCTAGTGATTTTTCAGTAGTTTCGAAACTTCGGCTTCTTAGGTACAGCAGTTTAAGACGTAAAACTAAGACAAACGGGTCAAGAATTATGTTGACAGAATGACAAAGATACGAGAGCCGTAAATTCACAAACGAGAGCTTTTACTGAAACGGACCTTTAAAAATTGTGACATACTGAAAATTGGAAAGAGAGCCGATAGGAACGCTAATTCTAAGATTTTATAACAGTTTTTATTTGGATGCTGGGCACACAACTGCTTAGTGAAGATTATGCGCTACACACTGAGCTAGCGTACATAATATAGATTTAAGAATTATTAATGTTAAAATAGAACTGTAGCGCTTAAAGGTTTAGTTACACTGTTGCACAATTTAAGATGAATAAAATGAATTGAATTGAATCGTCTTTTGAAACAATTAATTTTAGATTTGCTATTTCTGAAAAGAAAAGAGAGGGTGTAAAAAGGGGTTAAGTTTGAAATGGAAAAAATCAAATAAAATGATGCCACGAGAATGTGGGAACTAATAAGGGGCCGTTCACTTATTACGTTCGCATTTTAGGGGGGAGGGGGGGGGGGGGTTGAAAAATTGTAACAAAATGTAACTTAGGGTGGTTACACACACCACAAACATTTGTTTTTAAATTTTCCACCTTTTTAATAATTTATGAAAAATTATCAAAATAAAATAAATTATTAACGTTCCGGGGGGGGGGGGGGGGTTGTGAGTTGTAACATATTGTAACAAGGAGGGGAGGGGGTGGGGTGAAAAAAGTCGTTTTTTTGCGTAACGTAATAAGTGAACGGCCCCTAAAATGGTATTACTTATTTTCAATATGATTATTCATTAAAATTCATCATGATCATGCAAGAGTAAAGAAAAAATCAAATTAATTAGTTGAAATTACTTTTAATAAAGAGGCAAAATGAGATGAAATTTAAAATATTTCTCTACAATCCAAGGCTCTTAATATAAAATGAGTTATGCAGCATCCATTTCAAATTTTAATTATGTTTTTTTTTTCAATTGCGATACAATTTTTTTATGAAATTGCAAAATAAGTGTGAAAATTTTCAATTCCTTGCTATAATTCTACTGTTTATAGCAGATTTTGCACTCATTCAATTATCCAATTAATTTGGTAGACTATATGTCTTAATAAAAATGCGTGTGTTATGACATTAAAAAATTTTTGTGAAAAATATAAAAATGTTTTATATTTCCTATAGTGAGTTTTGAGTAGAAAATGTCTTATGATGTGCTTGGTTATAAGGTTTTTGATGTATTCCTTAATGTTTTTCTTATGCTCCTTTTGAACCTTATAATCATTGAAATCCCACATGAAAAAAGACTTTTGGTGTTCTAGTTTCTTTATTGTCATGGCCACACTTCAAAGATGAATGATGTAACGATGAAATTGGGTGTTCTCTTTGTACGCAATTCATCGTCACTGTAAATGATGACTATGATATTTTGCAAAAACCAGCTACATAATCTTTTGGGATTTACAACAATAAATTGTCGCTTTTTTAACAAACTTTTTTTTCTCAATAGAAAATCTAAATCAAAATAAGAAGCTTTAGAATTAATTGCCGTTAACGCGTGGCGTAAAATAAAAATAAAACATTGGAATCGTAAATTTGTAAAAAATAAAAAAATAAAATGGTATGAAAAATGTGTGCAAACTCAACATCTGTTGGGTAAATTAAATTGACTGCGAAATTTCTTAAATGAAAAGAAAATTTTTAATACGATAAAAATAGTAAATGAACGACTGAATGTTTTTTAAAGAGATTGAAGAAAGTGTAATTTCCGCTTATTGTGGCTTTTATATATTTTAGGTATAGTAAAGAAATAATCATGATGGGGGCTAAAATCACATTCGTGTACTAGTATTACAACTATTTTAATATAGACATTTGTCTTTCATTCTTTCATTCCGTTACCTTTTCATACAATTTTTCAAAATAGCGATTAATTAGCTTCCGCGTGGAACACGGAAGGTGTTTCTTTACGTCGGTCAAATTTTGTCACCCAACCTACAGATCCACCGTTTTATCCAAAAGTAATGATTTATATGTCAAAATTTAGCACTAGTAGGGCGGAAATTATGGCGCTTTGCATGAACTTTTTTTTTGAGACCGTAGTGATTGATGGAAGATTTTCACGAAATCTCCATACAAACACTATATTTGCTCTTACTTTTTTCAAAGCCCTATAACAAATACAGCTTAACATGTCCAAAGATGAAAAGTTTGTGCCTGAAATTTCACATCTTCTGCGATAAACAGATTTTAAATTTAGATCCGTGCTGCCTTATAGAAGAGCTGAATTGTTTTTGGGCAAGGTAGGAACAGCCGTTGCTTCAAAAAAAGCAAAAAATTTTCTTTTCTTAGGAATATTTTAAAACAAAAGTTCACTGTGATTTTTAAAAAATTAAACTTTGAATGAAACTTATCCTGAGCCAAGCTCACCTGACTCGCTAGGTTTATACCTTCAAACTAATGATAAGCGAAGCTCAGCTAACTTGCTAGCTTTATACCTTCAAACATATGGTAAGCGTTCTAGTTTACAAACGTATGCTGTGCGAAAGCACAGCTGACCGATGAAGACTTTCTATGGTAAGAGTCCATATTCGCTTATGCTGTGACTCGTCAAGCTTTATACTGCTTTATACCTCCAAACATAAACTGAGCACAGCTCAGCTGGTTCGTCAAGGTTTATACATTAAAATTAATATTGAGCTAAGCTTGGTCTTACCACAAGACTTTTGATGGTACGGTGTGAATATATCCGCATTGGGTTTCTACCCGATACACAAGTTTTCGTTTTGTGATATATAAATAAGAACTGTAACCTAACATAAGTCAAACGCGGAATTAAGTGACTTTCTACGTAAGTCGTGTTTCTAGGTATTATAATTTATAAATGATAAAGAATGCTAATAAAGATATAAAATCGATATTATTTTTTGAAAAAAGCCTACTATGATCGTAACCAAAAATGCTTTAAATTGCATTTTAAAACATATCTAGGTATTATAAATGATAAAGAATACTAATATAGAAATAAAATCGAAATTTTTTTTGAAAATAGCCTACTATGATCGAAACCAAAAATGCTTTAAATTGCATTTTTAAACATATCTAGTAATTATAAATGATAAAGAATACTAATATAGATATAAAATCGAAATTTTTTTTGAAAATAGCCTACTATGATCGAAACCAAAAATGCTTTAAATTGCATATTAATATATATCTAGGTATTATAAATGATAAAGAATGCTAATATAGATATAAAATCGATATTTTTTTTTGAAAAAAGCCTACTATGATCAAAACAAAAAATGCTTTAAATTGCATTTCAAAACATATCTAGGTATTATAAATGATAAAGAATGCTAATATAGATATAAAATCGATATTTTTTTTAAAAATAGCCTACTATGATCAAAACCAAAAATGCTTTAAATTGCATTTTAAAATATATCTAGGTATTATAAACGATAAAGAATGCTAATATAGATATAAAATCGATATTTTTTTTAAAAATAGCCTACTATGATCGAAACCAAAAATGCTTTAAATTGCATTTTAAAACATATCTAGGTATTATAAATGATAAAGAATGCTAATATAGATATAAAATCGATATTTTTTTTAAAAATAGCCTACTATGATCGAAACCAAAAATGCTTTAAATTGCATTTTAAAACATATCTAGGTATTATAAACGATAAAGAATGCTAATATAGATATCAAATCGATATTTTTTTTGAAAATAGCCTGCTATGATCGAAACCATAATTCTTTAAATTGCATTTTAAAACATATCTAGGTATTATAAATGATAAAGAATGCTAATATAGATATAAAATTGATATTTTTTTTGAAAATAGCCT